CTTTGGCTGGTCTAGTTATACTTCGGTAGTGGTGATTAACGTGTGGTTGTGTCGTTTGACTGGTTGCGTTTTAAGAAGACGCAAAAAATAATGTTTTGATCATGGAGGTTCAGTAAAGCATCGTGGCCGTCCGGCAACAGGACGTTCTCAAGAGTCTCTGGAGATAGAGAAGCGTAGCCTATCGAACTGGTTTGGTTCTAGGAGTAGTGTGTGGCATACGAAAAGAATACACGAGACTTGGAAAGTGGTTAAATGCATGAGTTCGTTCAACTTTGATTTGATTTTTGACTCCGACCTGTAGTTATACCGCAACAGGCCGCGCGATCTTTACCGATCTGGTACACTTGAAATGTTCCTTGTATCTTTGCTTTACCATCGTATATGTTTAAGAATTGATGTTTTTAAAATAAATTATTGCCTGAATATTCTGTTTATAATCTAGTTTCTTTATGTGTGCTACTCGATAACATTTGTTTTGCGGAACATTGACCCGATGCAACGCGAATGAATTTGTTCATTTGCTGATAAGCAATTGAAATTTATGCTCAATTAAGGATAATCTTTATACTCATACGTTGTGTGTTTTTGTCACCGGCCAGGCGCTATTTGTAGGTATTTCTGGGTTTATATAAGGCGAACTGAGAGAACAGTAATAAGATGTTTGTTTACAAATTTTGTTTGCCGATCGGTGACTGTTTTGTTAGCGTGGGTACGACCTCGTAAAAATACACGTTGGTAAATGTTTGTTTCAAAGCAAGACAGGGCTGTAAATCTTATTCTTATCGGCTGCAACATATATCTGAGGAGTAGCAAAGAATAAACTTGAATTATGGGGATAAATAAATTCAAACCAAATGCCCGGAAATACTCTCGCGTCGCGAACAATTAATTTGAAATTTGTAAATCTACTTGCGTGCATCTAACTCGCTTCCGATTGGTTGAAAAACAATCAGCTACTGTCAGAACTCACACATGCGCATTATCGTGAACCAGTTCCTTTAAGGTGCGGCTTTGAAGGTGGCTTATTGTTCGAATTCAATCTTCTGTTCTCCAGCAACTCCTAACAAAATGAATACTTTGCTTGCCTCTTTATTGGTTTTTACCTTTTGCCTCTCAGTGGGTGAGTACTTTACGATAATTTGTCAGGTGCGAGTAGATATTTGAGCTGGGTGTGCCATACTTGGTATCAAAACATTGCGCGTATTAGTTTTAGTCAAATTTAGCAAGCTTTAAGCCTTAAAATAAACGCAGTTGCTCTCATTGCCACTTTGAATGTTTGAAGTTTCTTTCTAAGTCACTAAATATGTCCATTTTGGTCAGTTTGGCCCTCCTCGTGTGCGCCTACATATAGCAGGCGTTATTTATCTAAGGTTCGATCTGGTGCTTCAGTTCCCATTCGAATGTCTGGAATGTCTCCTCCTTGCACCTCTGCTGGCCATCACTAGAAAGAGTAATGACGAGGGTATATAGCCTTGTCTACACTGAATAAATCGAGATAGGTCTCTGTGAAGAAGTACCAGAAGTACCTCATGAAAAATGCCGAAACTAGTGTTTCAGGTCATTTAAAATCCTGTGAGCTAAACACCCCTCCAGAAAATCATGCACCCTTATAAAACCTCGCACCCTCGGTGCTTCTGTGACGATAGGTTTTGCCCTTCCATGCACAAATTGGGGAAATAAGCGTTAAGAGAATTCGAGCAACTTCGGCGTATAAACAACAAGGGGCAAAACTAACTCTGCAGCTCGCTTAGCAAGCAGGAAAGGAACTTGTCACTGTTCCACGGTACTAGGACCTGCTACAACTGGAAAACAGGACAGCACTCAAACTTGGACTTCAACAGTTGAATCTTCAGCTCGTGGACGTAAATCATATAGGCATGTGCATCCAAAATGTAAATAGAAAAACAGAGATAACAGTGCTCTATTTATACTAATCGATCAGCTTATTACAACATCACAAAACAGATGGAAAGAAGCGCTGAATAAAATTAGCTGAAACCTAAAAACAAGCCTGGATTAATTCAGCTTTAAAATTCATATGCTATAAACTAGATGACTCAAAATTAAACGTCAATCAAGCAAATTGGGAAACTTAGTTATACAAAGATTCAGCACCATTAAAAGCTCTGCAAAAAGAATTCGAGTTTCCTTTGCTCAGGATTCGTTAAAATGTCAAAACTTAGAACTTAAACGGTTGGTATTTGAACAGGCGAAAGATCCAGTTATTCAGTAAATGTGTATAATTTAAGAAAACTAAAACATGTCAATGTAAATTCAATGTAAATTACGGCTAAAACAATTTCAAATGGAATATTTAAAAGCTAGATAAGAAATTCGAGGCAAATAAACAATTCATGGGAAATCTCTCCTTACACTTACACTTTTCTTTTATCTTTGTTAAAATTCTAATTGCTATGGCCCTTGAAGTCTCTAAGTCTGTGTGGTGAGCTTATAGGTGTCGACTTCGTTCCAGGTTGTTCAGCGTATACATTTTCCAGCGTTTAGAGTGATTACTGCTTTTGAATCTTAAAGAGCGGTTATGCTTTACTGAATCCAAATTGTTCTGGGTTGAGAATGTTATTAACCTGAGATCAGGCCCAATTTGAGCGGTTCTCATACATTCTCTCTAACGGCTACCGCTAAAATTGGGCCTGATCCAAACTCATTCACGTTTGTGCTCGTTACGGCCAGATTTTGGCCGTAACCCTGATTGGCTGTCGGAAACGCCGTCAATGATCCGTCGTCGGCGGAGAGAAGGATCGATTTTGTTGTCTTTTTTATTGTTTTATGGTCTTATAGTAGGAAAATATGCCTTAATATGTGCCATGGAAATTCAGAAAATTCATATGGTTGTTCATATCTTCTCAGGATTTGCTTTATTTACGGAAAGTGAGTGTATCGCGGAGTTGAATCCCTCTGCAAGTTGTTGACCTCTAACAAGGTGCCTTTTGATTAACAGATAAAAGCTATTTTTTAAGTCAGCCAGTCTGCATTTTTCCCACGCGTGAAAAATTTGCATACTAGAAAAACGAGCAACGGAAGTAATTTTGGTTGGCTGATTCGGCAAATGTCAATCAATCAAAAAAGTGGGCGGCAGACGTTTCGTAGAAGGTTTGTATCAGGCTCTCTTTTCGTTTAGCCATGCCCGCCGGAATGTTATTTACAAAGCGAAACGAAAATAGAGCCTGATCTCAGGTTAGAATGTTACAGATTTGGATATATTTATTCAACCTGTGAACAATTTGCCCAGACAACTTGTCAAAGTGATTCCTCTGTAATTTTCTGGGGACCTTCTATCACCTTTTTTGTTTGTTTTCGGTTTTCCTAAGATTTCATCATTTTACAAATTTTCTGTTTCGTCCGAGTCATTTGCAAAACTTGTATTTACATTTGTTTCATTGTTATATTGTCGAAAATGTTGTATCCATGCTTCCGGAGATATGAGGGTTTCTTCTTCGACCGTACTTTCTTTTTGGAGTTTGTTGATCTGCCTCCAAACGTCTTGACTGTGTTACGAGCTTAATGCATTTATCTCGTTAATAAGATCATTTTTGTATTTCTTATGCATCAATTTGACCTGTTTTTTATATTTCTTTTTAAGGGCAAACCATTCCTTTTGCAAAGATCTATGAGTTGTAGCATTCATTTTCTTTGCAAGGTGTTGTAATTGTTTCTTTAAGAGTGCATCCACGAAAGGACCAGGCAGGGGCGGCACAAGCCATCTAACCGATTTCGATGAAACTTGGCCAGTTTGAAGGGGTCTGCCCAAAACTAATTCACTCTAAGTTTAAGGAAATTTGGTCGAAACCGGGGGGAGTTCACCACCCCCCTTGTTTTTTTTTTAAAAAATGACCAAAAAACACCTAAAAATTGGTCAAAAGTATAAAGCTCTACTGCTAAAAGAATTCCACCAAACCTTTTCATATTTTCAGTGAATGTTATCCTACCCAAAGACAATTTATTGTAACTGTTTCGTTCTTCTACGACAAGTTCCTATGACACAAGTCATCTCAGCCAAGACCCCCCCTCTCACCCAATAGTGAAAATTGTTGAAATATCCAAAGTTTAGGCCAAATATCTCCAATGCCGGAGCATGCTTCCAAAAACGGAGCATACCGTCTAGAAGACGGGACTTCATACTAACATTATCTGCAAAAAAATATTTGGGCACTCATTTAATTATTCCACAGGAAGACTGCAAACACGTTGTCCACCACAGGGTACCTTCGTCAATTTTTTTCCATTATAACGCACTACTTCGGTAATTATGGCACAGCAACAGCCAAATAATGCCACAAAATGGTTGCACAACATACACTTTGATGAAATAGAACCATTTCTATCTAATAGCTAAAATATAAAAAAAAAACTTGGCCCACCACAGGATACCCACTTCATTTTTTTTCATCATAACTCGCTAATTCGGTAATAAAGACATAGCAACAGGTAGAAAATGCAGCAAAATGGTTACTCACTATAAAATTTAATGAAATTGAACCATTTCAAAAGCTTTTGATTGTCTTAAGCCATGAAAATGACAATCGACGTCTTAATGATGACCTCTATTATTGTATAAATGAACTTCGTGACGGAACTTACTCATCGCTAAGTGAAACACGAGAGTCACAGAACTCTATCCAAATGCTTACATTGTCTGTATTTGAACGTTAGAATGATCGTATAATGAAACTGACTTTTGTTCATTTAATAAAGGAATAATACATTTGCTTGAAACTTGCACGCCACATTGTACCTTGATGCAGAAAACTTTATCAGAAAGACCTTGCTATACTGAAAACAAAATCAACTGCGTGTTTTTGTGACTTGTGCCTTAAAGAACTGTCCTTTGTAAGAACTATCAAAGACAAAAGTCAAAATATATATAATCACACAGACAAACACTCTCATCAAAAGGAAAGTTACAGTTCTAGCTCCCTCCTGATTTGAAGCCGTGTTCTGATGAGGGGAAGTTCAGCCTCATATGGGTCTTTCTCCTCATCTTCGCTTTCTCCTCCCTCGGGTACCGGTTCTGTTGGCGCTGGCCTCACCTCCTCTCTTCTATGAAGACCCGCACTCCTGTTTAATGCGGCCATTCTTCTGAAATATCCGGAGATCTGGGTAGATGTCAGCCACTCGTCTTTGGTAAATACCTTCGTTCCCTCAGCGGCTCGCACGGACCTCATTCGTGCTGCTACATCCTCAGCCGCTGCTTTATTCCCGATGTCCTCTCCTTGAAGGAAGACTTCACGCAAAAATTGGCGCACTTTAGTGGTGAAATGAACAGACTTCTTGGTCTTTTTTAATGCCCAGCCCATGTCAGCTGTTGGCAGCGGGTCTTCCGACTGGCTATGGGAAACTGAGGCGGATGCAGATGTTGGCGGCTGAGCTGCTTCCACGTAGCTACCAGAAATTGACTTGCAGGTCTCTGCCCACTTTTTCTTTATCACGTCGTACGTGGACTCTCTCTCTAACGCGAGAAGGTGTTTCCCGGCATCGAGGTGACGCTGAAGGCTGCTGTGACTTTGGTAAACTTTGGTGCAACCCTCCTCTGGGCAGCCAAAGGCCACACGCTCTTCTTCTTCAAGCTCAATCCGTTCTACGGCTATAGGGTCCGTTGGAGGTGCTACGGGCTGCTGTTCTTGCGTGCTGGAAGATGCACGGAAGACACCAGTCAGTATGTCAGGACTATTGAATGCCTGGAGAACTTGTACGTTTGTCGGGCCTTGAGGGGTACCGAGACGCGCTAGCGACGCCGCGGTAAAGACCTTTCCGGGTCCGACATTGTAGGCCCGCCAAGCGATCATCTCTCCACTTTCAGTGAACACGAAGTTGTTCAAAGACTGTATGCCACTCAGCGAGTGCTTGGTCATGTTTTGGGACCTTTCGTCAACCTTGCACACCACTCAGTACCAGCCTTTGACGCCCCCATGAAAGTCAATAGCAGCTTTCATTTCACTTGCTGTCTTGACGTCATTGCCTTCATTAATGTAGCGCCTAATGTGGCTCTTCATGGCGGCGGCTCGGCGGTCACATATGTCTTTCCCAGCTTGGGCCTCACTGAAGTCATAACGAGCTATGCGGACACCAATTCGCTGTCCAAGGCTTGGGAGACTGAGAAGAAGAAATGCGCATTGATAACAGCCTGCGTTGTCAGATCTTAGGAAAGCTTCATTCAGTCTAGGTTTCTGTCGCTTCATGGTGGTTAGTGAATCTTCGATGATAGAGGCAACGCTGAACCAGTTTTGACTGCATTCAACAAATAAGTGGATATATGTACGTGCCTGAAAATCATAATAGTAAAGCATTTTTTACCATGAATAGTGCGCCAAGGGACCTAGTCACAGTCAAGGCTAATGGAGTATTAACCTGCGCATTTTGACTTGAAACAGAGATAACACCCGGGAAGGTCTGCTTTTTTCGAGAATGTTTATGGCCTTTTATTTGGATTAAAATTGTACTCCGTCCCATGCGCTTTTGCGCGCGCTTACTTGCGTCGCCAACGTTTTGTCTTTATATAAGTGCCGAAAGCAATGAAATGTTGAAATTCACTATTAGGAATTTAAGCTTTCGCGTCTTTTCTCGGCCTGGCATTCTTATCAGTTATCCAATTTTGCAATCGGTTAGCGCAACAAAAACCGCGCTCACGAGAAACTAGTTTATACTGGTCAGAGTAGGCACATGATTTCTACCTCAATTGTTCCATCTTCTGCTTTAGTGATGGCCACCGAGAGATGCCAGGACTTCCCCTTCTTTCCAAACCAGTCGCGCTGCGTTTCGCGAAAGCTGGTGGGAATAAACTTCATCGCCCAGTCTATTATTAGCAGAACCTGTGATGGTTTCAGGCTATCAACAATTTCGCTCTTGGCCGCATCCTGGTGAACTGAACGGAGAACGTGCGACTTCCAATCTTCTATGCTCGGCGCACCGCAGCTCAAATCATGCTGTAACTCCTCTCGTTTATCAGGACTAAAAAGGGAAAGAGTAGAGCTTGTCAACATCACGGCGCGATAGCGTCAGAAATTTTTCTTTGGAGCCGTTTTATCAAAAAATAATGATGACTCTCTCACTTTTTTCGTAAACTGCGTTTCATTCAAAACATATGTTCATTAGGTTTAGAACCACCCGAAGCAATTTAAAATTTCTAACTGAAACTCATATAAAGCGCCCTGGGGATTAGGTTGTTAGTTGACAATAAATGATAAACTCTGCTTTTCTGTCACAAAGATGTTCTTACCTTAGATGTACTTCACCTGAATCCAACGCTAGTTGCAGATCTGAGACAGCATTCTTTAGGTCTTCGCACCGGTCACAGGTTATAGTATGCTGATGTTGGCACTGACCGTTGCACTCTTTCTCTGTCCTACTGAGGGCGAACATTCTGCAGTGATCTGCGCAAGGGGATTCGCTGGCTGTGTGGATCTTGAAATCCGTCTTCAGATACTACCGACCTGCTTTGAGTCGCATTGGAATGTTATCAGCCATTGTGCTATCCAGTCCTGTGATAGAAAAAATACACACAATAATAAATATTGATACTCCGTCAGCTTATTAAAAGTTGTGACAACTCGTGCACCTACAGTAATAATGGAAGGTGTTTGTATCTCACCGGCTTGTTTAAGTTGATGAGTGATGTCTTCAAGAGTGGCGAGCGCCTGTACCCCATCTGTCTGAGTGCTATCAAGACCGGCTAACGATTTCTTTAGTGAAGCCCCACAAATCTGAAGAGAAACAAAATGCTTTGGTTTCAAACTAATTTCTAAATGCAAACCATTACTACTACTACACCACTACTACAACTACAATTAATCCTGATCAAAATTCATCCTTTACGAACGTTTTATAATCCGTACCTTGATTATATTGAAGAGCGTGGAGCGTCCGAAAGGCTCAAAATTGGACTCTACACAAAAGTTCAGGTACATGCGCACTAGGTGGGAGGATATAACTGTGCGCACCATGTTCGGGATCTCTAAGCTCTCTCCACTCTCCAGTTTAAGAGTTCTGGTGCCATATGCCACATCTTGAAGAACTGATGGACTGGACAAGAAGTCAAGAAAGTGGTCAACTTTCACAGCATCCAAACGGCATCTGGTGATCCTTGGTGGGTCAATGGGTGCCCGGGCTTAGTTTGGAAAGCGTGCTTCCTTGCCTCGTCGATTCTCCATTTTGAGAGACCCGGAATCAAAGCCAATAGCTCGCTCTTCGAATAGTCGTTCACGAAAAGCGACAGGATCTGTTGTCTCATGTACCAATTGGCGGCTTCCTCATACAGAATCACCAGTCTGGCAACCAGCGTGTCTTCGACTATACCCTCGGCCGCTTGTAAACGAATCCGCTGTTGCATGACTTGGTGGTAGAGCCAGCAGGCGTTGCCAGGGGCAATGGATTCAAGCACGCCTTCGATAGCCTGCTCCGCCTTTTTCCGGTAGTAGCGCTGGGTTGTGGATGACATAGTAAGAACTTTACATTGGCACTGTGACCTCACCGGGCTGACCCTGCCTTCAGTAGCCATTCTGAGGAAATTATTAAGGTAGTAAAGGCGGTGCTGTATTTGAGGGGTGGGCTGCCATTCTGCCGACGTCTCTGCTGCGCCAAGAGACTCCTGGGATCCAGTTGACGTCCGCGACAAAGCGTCTGAATGGCGGTCGCTGGGGTCTGAGTCGCGATCGCTATGCTGGAAGAGAAAAAAGCTGTATCTAGGAAATATCTAATTATTCCATCAGTTTGGCATTATTACCGTATAGTCAGCGTGCACAAGTTTTACATTAAAGAATTCCTGTTGGCCCGTATGCTTTGCGCCCGTTGGCTTTGTTTATGAACGCTATATGAATCTGCTCAAACCTCTCTAAGATTAATAACAGGAGTAGAATGAGCTTTGAATAGTAATTGTTACGAGTTATTGATGATCATATTTTATTAAATTTCGCGCTTTATGTTTCAAATGAAGTTCGATAAATAAGAGTGAGCAACATTCGAAACCACGACCGCAAAGCATACTCGAAGACAGGCATTCTTTGAAAGGAGAAAATTTTATGACTCAACCATATAGTGACTCTCAGTATAACAACCAATTTTAACGAATTATTCCGATTTTATTCAAAGTCTATGCAAATTAGTGTGAGAACCAACATTATGCCCAATACATCAAGCAACAACGACCCCTCTCCCTCCTTTCCTGATTTGTTCTAAAGATGAGTGGATTATGACAACAATTACAAAGAAAGTGACGCAAACGTCCCGCCCCTTTGAAATCAGTAAACTCATTCACACACTGCCGAAGAAGAACTTACCTCACTAATGAGATCTTCTTGGAATCTTACGTGAAGGACAGGGGTAGCAGACAATTGTTCTCATTCTTCTGTAGCAGGCGGTAGTAACTGTGGTGGCTCTACTATTTCCTCTGCGGACTCGTGAATCTGAGGGTCTGGGTGAGATGTGGACGCCAGTCCGGGATCTTGTACTTCGGAATCCGCGTCAGTAGAACCTACAGTTCTTAGATGGTCACCACGGCATTGTCTACAAACCCCTGCGTACAAGAATAAACCTAAAATGAGTTTTGGTAGCATTATGGTTTGTTAGTTTGTGGTAACAGGCTGGATAGAACAAACTGTTTGGAACTTTTCCCAAGCAATAAACGGCTTGCCTGCATCCATTTAGGCATTCTAATATTTCCTAGAGGGAGGGATTTTACCAGGCTAGATTCTAAATAGGTTTGTGCCGCCATTCCTAGTCAAAAGAGGGCCCCTGTTGGAAGTATTAGTGATTAGTGCTGTAGAAAATACTAGAAGTCCGCGCGATGTGGTAGGCCAGCGTAGGCCATCAGTAAATGTATAATTAGCGGCAATTCCAGTGCGGATTTTAAACAAAAATCTCATAAGTTTTCAGTGAGGCGCTTATTTTCACGCCCCGTTCTAGAACACTCATTCTTAATTGACACCGGGCTCTATATTAAAAGGCCTGGCCCTGAGGTTTCGCAAAAAAAAATCTGTATAATCACTGTAGCTTTTGAGAGAATTACCCTATCCCCCGCCCCTCCTGGGGAAAAATGACCGATTAGAAGCAGGAACCTATAACTATGGGCTACCGTTAGAACGTAACTAGCTAAGATACAAAAAGGAAAACAACGGAAGGGCAAATTGACCTGGTAAATTCAAAAATAGATTAAAACTCTTGTAGATCAAAATTCACCACACAATCGCTTATTTGTTTGTTTGTTTGCTATTCTTTTGCGAAATAAATATTATACCCCATAACTCATAATTAATTTCTTACAAGATCTTCCATCCTTCCCCCCACCCCCGCCAAAAAAAAAGAAAGAAAAAAAAAACTCCTTTCCCACTTGTGTATATATTAATAAAACAATTGACTAAACTTGTGTATTAGTCAATCATTTGCCCCATGTAAAGGAATCCGGATTCCGGAATCTTAGAAAATTTTGCTAGTGGAATCCGGAATCCCACTAATGATTGAAAAAGAACCCAAGTTCCACTGACAAATACTGGAATACAGTGATTGGAACCCTGTCTTCATTCCCTTACATGAAGCTAAATCATCGAGAAACCAAAGCATGTATAAGTACCGTATTTACCTTCAGTGATCACGCTTACCTGAGCCTACGGGAACCAAAACGTCCCACGTTTCCTTTATCTCTTTCGACATTTTCAAGTTCACCCCTCTGGATACTTTACCCTTACGGCGACCATGAAGCGGATGCTGGCATTTTCTTGAAGGACAATACTTTACTCCAAGTAAAACGCGATGCTTTGGGCAAATAACCATATCCTTACCCTCCTCGTCAAGCAAACCGACACGAGCAAGTATCAGCTCTCTCTCAGAGGCTACACATGATTGTGTTGTTTGCAGTTCTCTCAAGTGCGCCTTTACATCACTGACGCAAGAATTCAAAGGAAAAAACTGTGTACGATCGGGGTATCTAGTTGATACGTGACACTCACTGGTACAGTGCACGGCAAAAGAGCACGAAAACTGCAACATCGTTTTTAACGAGAGACCTTTTCACCTCTACATCCTATACCTCTAACCGATCGGCGCATGTGAGGAACACTTTGAAATATCCATGCGCGTGCACGCTTTTTCCAATCAACGGTCTATTTATAGAAAGCGTGTGAATCTCAACACTGGGCTGTTAGGTCTATTAGGATGTTACTAAAACGGGGAACGGGGAGCGGGGAGCGGGGAGCGGGGAGCGGGGAGCGGGGAACGGAAGTCTGGGAACGAGTTGTCAGCGGAAACCTCCATAAAAATCCAAAATGGCCGGTAAGGATCAAGAACCCGGTAAGATCGATGATAGAGAAGCGTCGAAACAACACTTAAGGTCGCTATTTTACTAATGAACTATATGCTCATGAGGTGCTTGAAATAATACGGAGGTAATAATGTCATGACATTTTGCACCTTTTTGCGTTATACTAAACAACAAAATATGCTTCAACAGCAGTTGAAAGAAGCTACAGTCGGGACAAAAACTCTCAAAGCACAGCCATATTTGGAACTCAAGCGAATCTATACTGGGTCTAACTCACAAAGCAATGAAATACTTTTGCTTGACGCTTTTAGTAGGGTTTTGGCTTAAATACATGCTGAAAGATAACGTAGATCGAAGCAGCCAGGTGTATTTCCTCGACAGTAATTGTGTAGCAGTGGAGCTCCTTCCTAGCAGTAGCGTTTTTTCAAGCCCAAATTAAAACATGTTGGCGATGAGATAAAACTGTAAGTCTAATAATATTATATTTACAAACCTATGATGAGAAGTAAGTGCAATTGTATTATTTGAAAAGATAAGATGGATCAGGTTATTTAATACATCAATAAAAGGCAACTTTAAACATATTAACGGGCAATGTGCCAGGAACATCAATCATACCTTGGTCTTAAAGATGTCAGTTGTTTCAAAGCAAATGGCTATGCTGTGGTTTTATTTTATTATAACCTAGGTGTAAATTTTGCTTCCCTTTGTTTGGGGGTAGGGTAATATGAATTTTATGATTATGAGTTCAAAACAAAGAGAATAAAATTCAAACTTAGGATAAAAGTGAACCACAACTGAACTGTAATATTAAGTGTTGCAAGTATACGTGGGGGAAGTACTTTAAAGTCTTTGGTTGGAAGGTACTTTGTAAAGGCTAGCTGTTAAAATATGCGTGGTAAGTATACTTCCTCTGTTTAGCCCTCTGGATGCTTTGTTTTTTTTCTAGGGGGACTCCTTTAATGTTTTTGCAGAGGGGAGCTCTGCTTCTCTTTAATGAACATTATTTTTACTGTGGAGAAAAATATTTCAAGCTCAGTGTAAAACTGAATGTATCAGTGACTTAAACCAGTTAATATTGTCAAGCTGCTTTATTAGCTTGATTCAGTAATATTGCAGTGCACCTACCATCAAGCATCACATCATCAATGTTGCAGAGGTTGGCAGCTTATTAGAAGGTGGTTGATAAGCCTTCAAGCAAGCTGTCTGTAGTTTTGGAAATAAAGAGTCTAAGGTCTCACACAAGTGATGGGAGGCAAAAGATTGGAGTACCGATATGTTTTTCAGTAAACACGTGCAACTGTATGTGTATAGTGGCCACATTATGCTTACTCAATGCATGTAAAATAACACAATAGATCTTGCTACCCATTTTCCCTGATTTTATTTCCCCTCCAGGGGACATAATTTCTTTTAACATATCGGGGTTTTCAAAAAAGGGGCAAGAAGCTTTTAAATGAATTTTAATTCATTTAATTTAAGCACAGTATCAAAGAAATTAAAGAGAAGAATCAGACTAGAGTAACAGTAACCCAGAGGGGAGGGTGGGTACTCACCAAAGAGGCTCTGCCCCAGGGACCAACCCTTTACCCTTTGTATGTACCATTTTAGACAGAAAAGGTACCCCTTTTGTATACCCTCTAGCGACAAATGGTACCCCTTTCACATACCTAATTTTGAATGCTGCATCCCTTTTTAACTGCTGTAAATACACCATCTTTAAAATATGAATAAATAGCTAAAACAGGTTTTCTTGTCTCTCACATCCATAAAATGCATCTGTGACTGATCTCATTTTGGTCCCTTTCATATACTTCAACTATAAAAACCCCTTCCCTTTCATGTACCGGAAGCCTGAATGAGGCTTCAGGCTCTGTTTAGGCCATTATAGTACCCCCTCCTCCTGCACCGAGAACAGTACTTGATCCAGCGATATTGTATGGTATGAATTGCACCAAACGTTTCGTGCCCATGAAGAGGTACTTTGATTATTTTACGACATTTTTCTTCAAAATGGAGAGGTTTGGGATCTCATTCTTAGGGGGGCGGGGGGGTTAATTGAGGATCTGCAGTGAGTGAGAATGTTGCATTCAATGCAATCCAATGGTTTTGATTCAGGAAAGGGTCGTCAGGGGTATTTCGCAGAAAGACAAATGCCCACTGTACGACTTTGAAGCAGTTACTGATTAGGGTGAGGAAAATGAGTGAATTAGGTTTCATTAGGGTCATTATACTGGTCTATACTGGGCAAACTGACCTGAAACAAATTGTTTCACAAAATAATAAACTGATATTATTTTATTTTCATGGATCAGTGAAACACTCCAATATCGTGAATGCTTGCAGTGTAGTAGATCTAATAATATTAAAAGCAGAACCAGATTGTTAAAGTAGTCTCACTAATTATGTGATGACCTGGTCAATAACATTTTTCAAAGCAGTCATCTCTATCAAAGGAAATACAAGAAAACTGCACACAAGCTACTTGACTACTTCGATGTATGTTATCTATCATGGAAAAGTAGTTCATTACTTTGTGGGCTAGACTCAGTATAGATTCGCTTGAGTTCCAAATATCGCTGTACATGTGCTTTGAGACTAGTTGTCCCGATTGGCTTCTTTCAACTGCTGTTGGAGCATATTTTGTTTCCTACGGATAATTGTTTAGTAAAACGCAAAGAGGTGAAAAACGTCATGAAGTTATTACCTCCGTAATTATTTCAAGCACCTCATGAACATATAGTTCAAGTAAAATAACGCCGTTCTCGGTTAAGTTTGTTTCGACGGTTCTCCATCATCGATCATCGGCCATATTGGATTTTTATGGAGGTTTCCGCTGACAACTCGTTCCCAAACTTCCGTTCCCCGCTCCCCGCTCCCCGTTCCCCGTTTTAGTAACATCCGGTCTATTAGCGGAGCTCTCGCGCGCGAAGCGCGCAGCGGAGCACCATGGGTAACAAAATGTGGTAAACTACCCATCCGAGAAAATTTGGTAATCACGTGACCGTACACCGACCGCCCGCCCGCCCGACCGTCCGTCCGCACCACAGGCATACCAACGCAAAATTTCGGGTAGTCTGTGATGAGGGTTTTTTGGCGCGAAAACGAATGGCAACCCGCGTTTTGTGAAGCATAAACAACTTAGAAGTTCAGGAAAGTCAACTCAGAACAAAAAGAAATTTTTCGTGTCGGTTGACATTTTTTATACATTCGTATTTTCTACATTATTTATGTATTATGCCCTCTAGTTTGGAGTATAGAGATAAAGAGAGGCAGAGAAAACGAGAAAGTAGGCGGCAAGCAAGCCAAGCTTAACGAGAGAGAGAGCGGCAGAGAGCTTGAGAAAGGAGGCGAAACTGCTCTGACGAGCAACGGGAGAGGGAGCAAGAAAGAAACAGAGAAAGGAGGCGCAATTTTACTGACGAGCAACGGGAGAAAGAGCAGGAAAGGGATAGAGAAAGGAGGCGCAATTTTACTGATGAGCAACGGGAGAGAGAACATGAAAGGGATAGAGTCGAGAAAGGAGGCGCAATTTTACTTATGAGCAACGGGAGAGAAAACAGGAAAGGGACAGAGAAAGGAGGAAACATTTTACTGAGGAGCAACGCGAGAGAGAGCAAGAGAGAAACAGAGAAAGGAGGCAAAATTTTACTGACGAACAACGGGGAAAAGCGCAAGAAAGAGAAAGGGAAAGGCGACAAAATTTCACTGAAGAGCAACTGGAGAATGAACGAGAGAGAGCAAGAGAAAATAGACGCCTAATAAGCGACGAGCGACGAAGAAGGGAGCGAGAGACAGCAAGGGAAAACAGGCGTCGTATAAACGAAAAACGAACGAGAAGGAGGAGAAGGTGAGCGAATTTTTGCCGAGGTTAGCTTTCTGTTATAAGAATCGGGGATCTTACGAAAACAGAGGTAGCTTTTGTTTTGTTTGTTAATCAATAACCTCTTTGTAATTGCATCAGTTGTTTTGGACCAATCACCACACGTCATTTGTTGTCACGCAGTCTAGAGTTGATACTTTTATCATCCATTGAAGTTGACCTGTGTCCTCCAAGTTCGTTGAAGAGAAACGATATGATTGAATTTCACTTTAACAAGACAGTCGCGTCCAAGATAAAATTATAGAGTAACCTTATAATTCGTGCTCCTCGGTGTATTTTCGTTGTTTCTGGCGCGGAAAATAAGGTAATCTTAAATTGTATTAATGAAATTTTATCGAAAATTATAACCATTGCCATGTGTCCGATGCATCGCTGAATGAATGATAACTCCTTATGTAAATTTTAGGCGACTCTGGCCTCTGTGACAAGTTAAAATGATTCAGTGTTAGAGGATTGTAAATTATACGGTCTGTGAAAGCGTTGTTATGTTTTCTGAAAAGAGAACAGAGAGCACCTTGAATTTGAAGATTTTCAATGTCTGTTGAAAGAGCGTTTTGGTGCAGATTGTTCGAGCTTACCTCTATTTGTTTTATTCAGGGTAAACAGAATTTGAAGGATCTATTCTCCCTCTTGTAATTGAAATAACTTTTATTATTTTACTATAAATCTAGGCTTTTCCATTTTGTAGATACCTATCTTCGAGTGTTTAAGAATATAAATGGAGATCTATGTAAATAAGGAGGGCAGCCAGGGTTAGAAATTATTTTTGAATGTTGACAGGCCAAACAAATTTAAGCTCGGTCATGTCTAGTTACTAACCGGTCAAAATAAATTATTACCTGCCAAACAAATTTTAGCTCGGACCGGTCAAAAGACAGTAAAAACTCGTAGGTAAGAACCTGGATTTTCCCATTGCATTAACAGGTACGTTCTTACAAAAATAGTTATTGGCAAAAAATTTGTCTATTTTTCTAAAATGAAAAGGTTCTTATTTTCTGCAGGAAAAAAAACATTGCAGCTTATGTCTCCCAAAGAGGTTCACCTGAATATTTTCCAGGTGTATAGAATTTTTTTATAGATTTGAGAAAATAAAGATGTGTGTCAACTATTGGGCTAAACAGGTTCTTGTATAGAGCCTGGGGCCTAATTATAACTGGCAAGTTTAGCCAAACAGGTTCCTAAAAACCAGGTTCTTAGTCACAGCTAGGTTTTTACTGTATTGAAGACATTGTACTTTGCAGTAATAGCCAAATTAAGACAAAAATTATGTGATCATAAATGCTCAAAAACTCCTTGTGTTGAGAGATGGGGAAATATTATAAACCAGTTTTGAGTGTGGTTATCAAGTTGTTCATTCATTGGAGGGTACAGTGTAGTAAATAATATTTCCAAGAATATTGTCAAGCTCAGCTCGTTTATTCTTAAAAACAATTCCCCATAAGAGTTAAACCAGAAATCACAACTTTTGGCTCAGTATTGTTCTGACATGTTTTCTTTGAACAATAGGTGTATGTAGGGGTGAGGGAAAATTCTTGCCCAACTAAAGATTTTATCTTATCCTCTTAGCCATGGAAGAACATGAAAGTCAGGTCCTCCAGGTTGAATGTAGCATGGAATGCTCTCTGCACTGGTGAACAAGAGCAAAGTCACTCAGCAGGTACTGATATAGTTCATGGTAGATGGTATTTATTATAGAATTGCATAATTGAGTAAAATCACTCATTCTGATTGGTTAACGAAGAGAGGTATTCAGTGTGGAATTGCGAGTTGAAAACGAGGCTAAGGGATGTTTTTTCGCATCTACGTAACAACTATCGTCAAATTGTAACACAACAACTGCAAAAAAGGTTTTCTACAATGTCATTTTAAAACGTTTTCAAAATCATTGTCACCTTTTGTATATCCTTTCTTAACATACTGTAATGTTGCCTGATCCTCCACCTACTGTTCCAGCCTAAACTGTATTTACCTTTTGCAAAAGCGTCTAGTGCGGCTCATAACAAAAGCTCACTATCTAGCAAATACCGCCCCTTTGTTTAGCCGGCTTAAAGTCCTTGACATATTTAGTATTAATTTATTTTCTGTCACTACTTTTATGTATTGTTATCACCATAATCTTTTGCCTAGTAGCTTTCGTGACTTGTTCTTAAGTAGTAATCTGAAGTCCATCAATACCAAAATTCGACTGGCCTCTCAGTATAGACCTCATTTTTGTAGATCAAATATAAAGCAATTCAGCATCCTTTACCGAGGACCTAAAATCTGGAATTAGTGCCTGTTTCACTAATTAGCTCTCCTTCTATATTTGTTGTTACAAAAATTTTAAGAATTATCTCACTGATAGCCGATCTGTCGCTTAATTTTCTGATCTTGCTCACTCTGCACTCAGCCATGAATTTAGTTCTCTAGGTAGTTGAAGGAAGCCTATTAATATAAGCTTCAAGCTTCGTTAGACTTCCTTGTCACATTAATTTTATAATTTAATTAACACCTTTTGTTTATGTTGCATAAGGTTTTGTGAGTGACTAAATAAATAAATAGTTAAAAACAAACAAAAGCATTTTTTAAAGTGATCCGGAGGTTCTTCCTTGTTTTGAACTAAACTACAAATTCTTAGAGAGGTATAAAAACCCCTTTAAGCTAGCGACAATGAGAAAACAAGAAAATCCTGTCAACACAGCCCAGAAAATAACAAGCCAAATTCAAACAAACAAAACGGAGAAGCGACAATGGAGGAAGTGCCAGGGTCAATTGTCACATATACAGAAGAAAAAAAGAAATACCTTCAAAGATCACATTGTCCCTGAAAACACGAAAAAGAGTATGCCACTTGCATTCATCCTGAGTCGTGGTACTTAGAAAAGTACAAAACAGAGCTGAACTTGAACAGCATTTTTAAAACATTTCAAGGTACTTACCTTATATCAATCGCAACGTTAAACTTTCAGTGCTTTGCCTTGGACACTTCATTTCTTTCAGTTTTGCTACCGAAGAGGTAAAAGGTGTAAATTATTTTCCTTCGCGAGCAAATGACCAATTTGAAAAAGGATTATAGATAACCGGCTTGTAAATTCAGTGAAATACCTCTATTTATCCTTACAATTAGTGTGAAGCTTGTTCATGTGTAAAAAAGTTTGAAAACAATGTAAAAACAAGCACAAGGTACAAAAAAAGTTGTCAAAGGTTCAAACGTGTATGACTGACCTTGCTTCCTATTTGCTAATGCAATGATAGGTTTGACATTTGACTTTGAAATGGCTTTCTGGGGCGCGTGCTCAGGATAAAAACAAACAATATTATTGGTGTTTTCTTTTTTTTTCTGATTTTTATTTGATTATGCGATTCAAGGAAAATCCATTACCTGACTCGTGAATTCCACGTTAAATTGCACTTGAAAACCGATATCGGTTTTTAGGTGTGCAATTTAACGTCAATTCCTCAGGTAATGAATTTTCCTATAAAACTTACTAATATCGTGGAAAAATTTCTTGAATCAGATTGGCTTAGAGCAGTGCAGTTTTTAGTAAACACAGTACAAAAACAAGGAAACATAATGCAAAAATAAGGAAATGAAGTGCGAATTTCTCAGAGAATGAAAACCTGTGATTGGCTAATAAACAATCAGTGTTCTCCAGAAGCGCAGGCAACTGGCAGTTTCACTGGGAACTCTTTTCCAAAGTGCCAGCTACTCTTATGAGTCAAAACATAAAAAAAAACTGTCTGTAACTTTTATCTTCAATTTTTCGTAAGTTCCATTTTTTTCCGCGAAGGATAAAACGGCACCCAAAGCAAATCGTGTTAATTCATTTCTTAGAATACTAGAACCTGCAATTTCATCGGGAAAATAACAAACAAACAAAAAAGCCACGAGAGCTTGTTTGAAAGTTTATCGAAAAACACATGAAAATACATGGAACTAAAGTGCCTTGAACAGCTACAAAAGAAGACAGGTGTTGTTTATTCATGGTTGCGAAGCCACTCGCTGAGGCACTTGCTGATAGATAGCTGCGGCTTGTTTATCTGACATGAAGAATATAAATCACAAGCAACTAGAATACACGCTATGCAGCCATTCACTACAGCAATCGAGGCGTCAGTAAAGCTTCTTTTCTTGTTCAGCAAAACCAGCTTGTGGCTTCAAACAACGTCATAACAAGCGACCAAGGTAATAGTTTTTCTCCGTTGTTCTTACTTTTGTAACTGCTCCAAAAGTCCAAATTCACAGTAATTTTGATGGCTGTTAAGAATTATTTTTCTTCACATTATCTGCCAGGTTTTTTTAGCTGTCCCGCTGTGTAAAATCCTAGAATCTCGATGAGTTTTTAAAAGTGTTCATCTTTACAATGTTTTGATTTTTCATTCATCCAGTCCAGGAGAGTCGGTTCATGCGTTGACAGTTCTGATAGACATGTGACATTTGAATAGCGGAACTCCCTTGTCTTTTCTGGTTTGTTCTAACAAGATTCAAAGGGATTTTGTGGGCGTTTTTAATAAAATAATTATTCCACTTGCGCTTGTTGGATGAGATGATTATTGCCAACTCGGCGCTATGCGTCTCGTTAGCTATTTTCCATCTCATATCCAACGTGCCCTCGTGGAATAATTGTTAATTATAAAATAACTAAGATAGTACGTGCATTCTGATTGGTTAAAAACCAATAGTTTATTGTGCCGGTAAAATCATAGAAAACTGAAACATGCTTTAAAGTTATTTTATAAAAGTAAAAGACCACATTTTCTAAAGGTTTGCTGGTGTGATAACCCACTTGGGATGTTGGGAGAAGACTGGAAAAGCTTGTAAACCACCAGCTTAACTTATCAGATCTCTGGGCCTCATGCCCCCAAACCCCCCCTTAGATACAGTACTCTCGCTTTACCAGCACTTGGTGTCAGGCACCAGTTACTTTACTTTGGGAGCTGGCTACTCTAAAACTTCTGGAGAACACTGAACAATAGAAATATATAAGAACCAATGAGCCCCAGGTGTCACAATCTGCTTGCTTATCTTCTTAGCCATGGAAGAACATGAAAGTCAGGTCCTCCCGGTTGAATGTAGCAGAAAATGCTCTCTGCTTGGTGAACAAGAGCAAAGTCAATCAGCAGGTACTGATATAGTTCATGGTAGATGGTATTTATTATAAAACTTAATAAATATACATGGAAAAATTTCTTGAATGAGATTGTCTTAGAGCGGTGCAGTTTTTAGTAAACACAGTAAAAAAAACAAGGAAACATAATGCAAAAAAAAGGAAATAAAGTGCAAATTTCTCAGAGAATGAAAACCTGTGAACAATCAGTGTTCTCCAGAAGCGCAGGCGACTGGTGGTTTCGCTGGCTACTCTTATGACTCAAAACAGTAAAAAAAACTTTCTGTACCTTTTATCTTGAATTTTTCAGAAGGTCCTAAAAGAAACAAAAACAATAGCTTGTCGTACAAAAAGCTCTTTGGTGTATGACAATTTGCCTTTTGCTAATGGTATTATCGATATATTTATTGAATGATTTTTGATGAGACATTGCCAGATAATATTTTTTAATTATAAAATAACTAAGATAGTACATGCATTCTGATTGGTTAAAAACCAATAGTTTATTGTGCTGGTAATCTCATAGTAAACTGAAACATGCTTTAAAGTTATTTTATAAAAAGTAAAGACCACATTTTCTATGGATTTACCAGCATGATAACTCACTTGGTCCTTGGGAGAACTTGGGAAAAAAGCTTGTAAATAACGAGCAAAACTTCTCAGATCTCTGGGCTTAATGCCCCCAAACCCCTCCCTTAGATACAGTACTCTCGCTTTATCAGTGCTTGGTGTCAGGCACCAGTTTCTTTTGCTTTGGGAGCTGGCTACTCTAAAACTTCTGGATAATGTATCGGTCAAATGGAAGCTTCAACATGCCCCCCCGGCAACCCCCAGGCATTTGACTTTTTGAAAATTATTGTTCAAATTCCCCCCCTACCGGGCCCAAAATGCCGTTCAAATGCCCCACACTAGGGTCCATTCAGGTGATCAAATGCCCCCATCCTGGGGACATTTCACAGGCACAAAAAGGACAGAAGGACGGTGAAACGCCTTCAGTTGTCGAACAAAATCTTTATAAATATAACAAAAACACTGTTAGCGTATTTACTACGAACAAAAAACTCGTGCAAAGCGGCAGAAATCGCTGCTACAAGGTCACTGAATGCTCAGCTTTTCTTCATCATGCAACATCAAAGGGTTCTATAAAAAGATCCCACCTATTGAGATTACTACATTATGACCATTTCACTGACATGCATCATCGCTCACCGTATAAATTAACATACTTGCAGTAGGTCAAAGTAGTTGACCTGATCTTTTTTTTTTTTTTTTATTCTATTTTATGTTGTAGTATTGAATCGCTGGCATAGGTATTGTATTTCATTGTAAACACAACAATAACATACATTCATACATTCAAAGCCTGAATCCAGTATTAAAAATTTTAAAATTTAAATACTTCAAAAACGGCACAAAAGTTGTTTAAGCCCTTTCCTTGTAACCAATTGGCCACAAAGGCACAATCTTTTCCTCGAAAATCCTCTAACACCGCGTCCCCCATGATAGCTCGTCACACCAAAGATTTTACATGAAATCGAGGGTGCAGTTCAAATTCCCCACCCCTAAAGCCTGGGGATCAAATTCCCCACCCCCTGGAAGACTCTGATAATCAAATTCCCTCCTCCCCGGGACGGCAAAGGTGTCAAATGCCCGGGGTATGCCCGGGGGAGGGCATGTTGAAGCTTCAATTTGACCGATACATAACACTGAACAATAGAAATATATAAGAACCAATCAGCCTCAGGTGTCACAATCTGCTTGCCCAACTTATTAAGATTATATCTTATCTTCTTAGCCATAGAAGAACATGAAAGTGAAGTCCTCCAACTTGAATGTAGCATGGAAAGCTCTCTGCCAGGTGAACAAGAGCAAAGTCATTCAGCAGGTACTGATATACCGGTAGTTGTTTATGGTAGATGGTATTTTATTATGAAAGTTAATAATATACATGAAAAAATTTCTCTGTGAATTTGATTGGCGTAGAGCAGTGTACTTTTTAGTAAACACAATGGAAACATAATGCAAAAAGAAAGAAATATAATGCAAATTTATCAGAGAATGAAAAACTGTGATTGGGCCAATAAGCAATAGAAATTTATCAGAACTAATTAAGTGCCACAGTTTGCTGGTGGGAAGCATGTATACTTTTAAAACTTCCCCCTTTTTGGTGTAATTAATTATGCTCTGTTGTCTTACCTAAGTAATCTTTCCTTTTTCTTGTAACACTTTTTTTCTCAATATTTTATTTTATGAATTTACCTGATTATTTTTATTTATTTATTCATTGTGGGTTGTTTTTGTTTTCATTTTTGTAACCAAGATTTTGAAATTAATAAAGGTGTGGGTGGGCGTGTGTGTGTAACAAATAAGAATGTTAAAACTTTCATATATATATTTTTTACATGGACTCAAAAGAGCAGCTATATAATCAGTGATTTTGTTACCTCTGCATTCTATCTATGTTCCTTACACATAAAAATCGCCAAAGACATAAAATAATTCATGGATATATCGATCTGAACGTGTGTATTTGTAGAAATATCCCATACGTGTAATTTCTGTGGCAGTTATGGTTGTTGTTTAGTGATTCATATTTGTTTTAGCCTTTGTTGACTTCTGCTTTAAAATAGAAGAACTATATTTTAATTTCAGTATACTATAATACAGAGTTTTGGAGTGTGTCTTCAGATTAACTGTCTGTGGCTGGTACATAAAGGCCCAAACATTTTCCATTTTGGACTCATTTTTTTTAACTGGGACTCATTGGTTCTGGACTGGGACTCATGATTTTCTCACAAGATGAGTCCCAGAATTCATCATATTTATTTGTAACAAAAACACTGTATAATTCATTGATTAGACCTTTTGTCATGTAATTCAAGTGTTGTTGTTGTGGTAAACATGACAAGTCATCATGTCTGTACTTAATTCTCCATGACTGGATTGTAGGATTTTTGTTCTGTTTGTATTTGATCGTGCATTATTATTATGGGAAAACTTACCTTAGGGTCGCATTACTTTGACTAGGACAAAGTTAAAATACATGGAATTCTCATAGAGATAATTATTTTTTTGGATTATAATAATGAGTTCATTGGTTGGGTCACTCCCATTATATTTGATGACTGGTTTATGAAATATCAGCACTTAGAAAATGATTGTCAAGGTTGTTGTATTATCCGAAGTTTCAAAAGTAGAAATATTGTGTATTTTCTATTTGAAATCAGGTTTTGAGAACACTTCCACAGATACAGCTTTATAATAGTAATTCTTGTACAGTTATACAAGCATGCAGTACTAGGGTGTGAAGAAAAGGAGGTCAGTTTTGTGCTTGTCCTTCGGGAAGGCTGTAGCTTGCATCTGTTAGCCCAAGAATCACAACTCTATTATCCCTCAGGCATGATAAAAAATAGAATCCACTAGCCCCATAGCTTATATGAATTGTGTAGTTGGTTAATACAAATAATTCATTTACTAGGAGAAGAGTTGGAACAACACACTCCTGCAGTAGAAAATGGCCCAATTGAGGGAGCAAGCAATGTGCAGGAAACACAGCAACCTCTTCCAGAAGTAAATAATAGTAGCCACTTAGAAGATGACCGCCTAATTGCTAGAGCAAGGGCAGTTGGTGTGGACTATGAGTTTCCAAAGCCTGGTGAAGTGAAAACGGAGGATGACAGAAGAAAAGATTTTATTTACTTGAATCCAGTCCATTCCTTCTTCTCTCCAACAACAATGATATATTAAGAAACATTGTTATTATAGCTGGAAATTTCTTTCCAACCATGTGCACACTCATTGGTTATTTCAATGTCACCTGACATCTAACAATGAAACTTTTTGGTGCCAATATTCTCTAAGCAGGCAACATCGCAAAAATCATTCACATCAGAGGGTAACAGTGCACTATTACCAGTCCGGAATATCCCTAAATTTAAGGACAGGGCCAACTGGTCACGCGACACTTTTCAACCAATGAGAAGGCGCGCTTGTGTTTATCAACAAACAAATCAAAACATCGCCCCAGTGATCAAAAATTTTCAAAACAACGGACGGAGTCGGACAGAATCAGTCATCTTTTCGAGGCTCTCAGGCATATTTTTAAGACTTTTCATGATGAGGCACACAATTTTTTTAAGTGGACAGCGTATCGGAAGCCATATTGGAAGTGTCTCGTGAAATATTCAGCACATTTTGTGGCTTATTTCTTCTTTTATCTTTTAAACAACGCGTTGTATAGGAGAGATTTTGGTCCGTTTTCAAGGTAGGTGAACAAGTATCTATTATTTTTTCGATTCACAGATTTTTTACGAAGTTCTAGATATTTTTCCTCGATTGTCATATCGATTAACTTTTATCATGTTGAATGTGGGGGTGGCAGACAACCTAGAATTTTGGTAGACAATTTTTGAATTCCGAGGTCCAAAACACGTACGTTTTCCACTCCCGGGTTTCTCACAAAAGCCGTGTTCTTACTTTTTTTCGCATTAGTACGAGCCTTTGCCTTTTTTCTTTTCAAGGCCAAAACAACTTTATTAGTCTCATGGATATTCCCGTCCAACATCTCGCCTCACTTTGCCGAATTTGCGGGGATGAAATTGAAGATCATAAGCGCAAGGTACAGAAGGTAGATACTAACTGCTTTGTTTCTGAAATTCACTAATCTGGAAAGATTTAATGTCGTTGGATTCTCCAAATGTTCACCCACCGTTAAAAAACAATCAAAGAAACAAGGCAAATCTCAATTGTAAATGCTGTATTTCGCTACTCATTGAACATGCACTGATTATCTGGGATAAAATTAAAACATTGCAGGTACTACAGCAAGCAAAGAAAGCACCAGATGCGTGAAGTCAACACGAAACAACACAAAAAAACAAACAAGAAAAATTAATAAATTTGAACTACTTTCTATTCTTGTTATGATGACTGGTTCTTTGATTCTTGTCCTGTAGAAGTTAATAGGTAGTACCAATCGTGTTTTGTACGATCTCAACAAATTTTCACACTCCCTCTAAGGCTATTTTTCACGGGACCAGTTGCGTCAATCAAAAATCTTGCAAGCCATGCCAGTGAAGCCACGACCTCTGCGATCGGTCAGGAATCAGTTCGAACACCCCAATGATTCCTTGCAATGATTAATGCTCTTATTCTCTTACATGAAATGTTTTCTTTGAAATATTAAATGTGAAACCTAGACGAGTACTGTAAGCTCATCTTTAATTCTGTCCGACTCCGTCCGTTGTTTTGAAAATTTTTCGTCACTGGGGCGATGTTTTGATTTGTTTGTTGATAAACACAAGCGCGCATTCTCATTGGTTGAAAAGTGTCGTGTGACCAGTTGGCCTTGTCCTTAAATTTAGGGATATTCCGGACTGATTACCCGTGAATGACCAACAACTGACCTTCCACACTGTAATTTTCAGGGAGTTATAATAACTCCTCTAGTGGGGCTAATTTAACTCCTGACAGTGGAGTTATTTTTCGTGGGGTTATTTTAACTCCAAAAAGGAGTTTAAAGAACTCTTTTTCAGGAGTAAAAGTGACCCCAGATATTGAGGAGTTAAAATAACCCCAAAAAAGGAGTTATCCTGTACCTAAAATTTTTACTCCACTTTCAGAGTTAAATTAACTCCAAAAAGAGTAAAAACAATCCCTGTAAGGAGTACAAGTAACCCCATTTCGGAGTAATTTTAACTCCAAGACTGGGAGTAAAAAGAACTCTTTTTCAGGAGTAAAAATGACCCCAAATTCGGAGTTAAATTAGGAGTTAAAATAACCCCAAAAAAGGGGTTATCCTGTACCTAAAATTTTTACTCCATTTTTGGAGTTATAATAACTCCCTAAAAATTACGGTGCAGGGAGGTTTGATGAATTTCCATGCAGCTATAAATTTTTTAAAATATTAACATCACAAATCACTTAAAGACTTGGCCCATGGGAAACAGTTAATTTTGTTTTCCAAGAATCTAAATATTTCCCAGCACCATTCTCATTAGTTACTTCGAGGTCACATGACATCTAACTGTTTCCCACCACAATCTCTGAGGAATTGCCAGGCTAATTGACCAGCTGCTGTGGAAATTGGAGAATGACTATATGAATGGTTAGGTACGTTAGGTACAGTGCCAAAGTTGCATTGATAACTGTGGTGATCTTCCCTGAATTTATTTCTTCATTCTGCATTGCCAGTATATGAAATTAATGTATTTATTATACCATATATAACTTTGTTGTGTGAATTCACCTTGGATAAGTTAATCTTTTCTTGTGCTGTTTTAAAGTTATAGAGTTTTAGTTTTAGTTTCAACTTTTAAGACCTTTTTCTTTCCTGCTCTTTAAACCTTATCTAACTACGTGTTACTTTTTTCGTAGTTTTCTTTGACTCCTCTTCTTCCTTTGTCGGGAGTGGGTTGCGGGTACACGTAGGCTAGATTACATCCCGATACCGACTGGGGGGTATCAGTATTTGCAACGAGGTTATATCGTATTGTGTACCAGTGTGAATAAAACGATCTTCATCATCATCATTATTATCGTTATTATTATTGTAATGAAATCGGGAGCTCCGCTTTTAGGCTTGGCTAAATCTATATATTACATATCCTAAGCCCGAATTCAACATTTACGATCGCCAAACCTTTATACATGTAAAAACTCCGTTTTTAAAGAAGAAAACAAAACAACTCAATTCGTTCGCGTCAATTTGTATTTTTAAAGCGAACGTTTGTTCTGTTTGTAGTTATTATGGAAAATCGAATCAAGCTATCAAATTACAAAGATGTATGCGCTTGCCAGGAAGTAATTTCCAGGGATTAGAAAAAAAGAAGCGTTTGGCTGTTCTTTTCTCCTTTTTTTCTCCTTTTCAGGCGTATTAGGCAACCGACTTGAGTCGCAAGCAAATCAATTTATTTTCAGAAAAGGGAATTCTTTTGGATAACGTTTTCTGTATCAAGATGCAATGTGGCGTGCAAGTTTCAAGCAATTGTACTATTCCTTTACCAGACGAACAAAAGCAAATTTTATTATACAATCATTCTAAAGTTCAAATATGGACAATGTAAGCATTTTGATAGTGTTCTGTGACTCAGATGTTTGACTTAGCGAAGAGTAAATTTCGTCACGAAGTTCACTTATACAATAATAGAGGTCATCATAGTTTATAGTGTGTAACCATTTTGAGGCATTTTCTGTCTGTTGCTACGTTATCAGTACCGAATTAGCGCACTATAATGAAAGGAAAAAAAAAAGATTGACGTGGGTACCCTGTGGTGGGCCCTTTTTTATTTAGGCAATTAGATAGAAATGGTTCTATTTCATTAAAGTGTATGGCGTGTAATCATTTTGTGGCATTGTCTGTCCGTTGCTGTGCGATAATTACCGAATTAGCGCGTTATAATGAAAACAAAATTGACACTGGTACCCTGTGGTGGACGACGTGTTTGCAGTCTTCCTGTGGAATAATTAAATGAGTGCCCAAAGATTTTTTTGCAAATATTGTTAGTATGAAGTCCCGTCTTCTAGACGGTATGCTCCGTTTTCTGAAGCATGCTCTGGCATTGGAGATATTTTGGCCTAAACTTTGGATATTTCAACAATTTTCACTATTGGGTGAGAGGGGGGGTCTTGGCTGAGATGACTTGTGTCATAGGAACTTGTCGTAGAAAAACGAAACAGTTACAATAAATTGTATTTGGGTAGGATAACATTCACTGAAAATATGAAAAGGTTTGGTGGAATTCTTTTAGCAGTAGAGCTTTATACTTTTGACCAATTTTTAGGTGTTTTTTGGTCATTTTTTTAAAAAAAACAAGGGGGGTGGTGAACTCCCCCCGGTTTCGACCAAATTTCCTTAAACTTAGAGTGAATTAGTTTTGGGCAAACCCCTTCAAACTGGCCAAGTTTCATCGAAATCGGTTAGATCGCTTGTGCCGCCCCTGCCTGGTCGTATCGTGGATGCACTCTTAACTGTCTGCATGTATTGTCATACCACGGTTTGCTTTTTTTGGTGTTTTTCCATTTTTTCTTTAACGTTACCAGGCTTATTTTAGCTGCGTGCATTATTAGTTTGTTATAATGCGAAATTTCGCCATCTATCGAAGGATAATCTTTAGCGTTGAAAGATTCGAATTGGCCTTGAATGTCTGTGCTTGATAGTGCACTCATAAACTTTTCAATGGATCCTGTCTTGCACAGGAATGTTTTAGTAGTGTTTTGAACTATTAGAGTATAGGAAACACTGGTATTGTTCCATTCACTTCGCTTTGTCCAACACGAAGGACGTTTGGCGACTATCAGCAGAACCCGACTGACCCGACTTTCTCCCTCAATGGCTTCCGTCGAGTCCGATTTTTATCCACCGGCTGCAGAACTGGTAGTTATGCACCTATCAATGTAAATCCCGTGGAGGATGGGGGGGAGTGCGGACGAGGGGCGGGGATTTGATGCCTGAGACTATCCCCCTGTCGGGCTTTGGATCGTGTGAAGCGACCCCGGGGTCGGGACATTTGTCTTTGACCGATAGAAGCCTGGTATCAATTCAGAAGCGGTAACCAAGTCCGTCCCTCGAGAAAGTCTTTTCTGAAAGTCACGCTGCTGGAGAAAGTTATGAAGTTTTCATTTGTTTTAATCGCCATAATCCGATACGTTACATGTACACTGTCATCTAAACAGATAATGTCTATTTTGAGAAAGTTTTTATCTTCAAGTTCCCATCTGATTGTAAACCTCTATTGAAATCGAATTCTACCATGAAAGTCAGAGGATTTTTTACAGGTCACTGATCCGACCTGTTCCGACATGTTGAGCCGATGTTATAAAGCATTTTACGTTTCATTTTATATAATAGCACGGTCAATCTTCCTGGAGTGATTACGTTGTTCAAAATAAGAGATGCTAGTGGAGAGAGAAAATACTTAATTACAGCGAGTAATTTAACGGAGCTTACGTTAACCTTAAATAAAAGTAGTAAGAACGTACTTTTGAAATGTTATTTCATTCGTTTTATATAGTATTATAGTATTGTTTGTTTAGATTTTTCCCCTGGGGTGGGGGCCTTTTTGACACTTTTGATTGACCTTTCGTTTCCCACCCTGGGAAATTTGATCAAAAAATTTTAAAATTTGTCAAATCCCCACCCCTTGTCCGCACTCCTCCCCCACGGGGTTTACATTGATAGGTGCATTATAATAGCGGAGTCCTTTAATCAGGATGGCCAGCCCAATGTTGGTCACATATTGTTCCACCACGTTGTGCCGAGTTGTTGTGACGAATCTTTAACCGTAACTCGTGCATAACTTGTGGCTATTTTTACATCTCAAATTACCTGGCGTCGCAGTGGCACAATCGCGTAATCCCTCAATTTGGAGTCTCTTCTCGGGTCTCACCTAAGCCGGTTCAAACCCTGGGCAAGTCAGAAATTCTGTAGAACCCCGCCTTACTCTTGTTATTAAGACTAGCTTTATTCGGCCCGGCAAAACGGTCATTTTCTTATACAAAAAACCCCCGTTAATGCGGTCACCAATTAATACGGCCAACGGCCACATTTTAAAATCCCAAACAGTAGAATCCCTTATAATTTCACCCCGTTAATGCGGCCACTCGATCGAAATTTAGAAAATTAAAATGCCTGTGACATGTCGATTTTATTGATCTAGTAATCTTAGCTTATTCTCGTACTGTTTTTAGACTACAGTGCACTTAAAATGCTCTTGTGGCGATTTATAGCCGAAGTTTAAAAGAGTTTCATGAACTGACAAAAAGAATTAAAAGAAGTTTTTCAATTACTGCACGCGATATCTGCATTCCGCTTGTTTATCAATGAGATCAGTACGATGAATGCTATGTACGGTGCATTCCTGGTGTATTTGTCATTACGGCCCTCAAGTAATGAAATTTGAGCCTACCCCGGTAATAATGCCACCCCGTTTTGGCCTATTGGTGACCGTATTAAAGGGGTTCCACTGTAATCATTATTTCTTCTTTATTTTTTCCAAAAGTGATACTTATTTCTTCCCCATAATTGTTTCTTTCCTCTTAAACAATAAATAAAAGAACTCTTCAAAAATTCTTCAAATCCATTTAGAATTCGCATATTTCTCTTTCTTTCTTACTCATTTGGAATTGAAACGATAAATACGTTTACACACTCACATAGTTCCCGCAAAAACCACACCCGACTCCAGACCAAACTGGGCAAAATCTATATCCGTTTTTAGACCAAAAAGACGCAAAAACCCTACTTGTTGGGGCGGCAGATACCTACATGGCTTATATAAGGGCTACCCCCAAGGGCACAAAGTTTGCTCAAAAGAAAACCACATTATGGGCCCTGCTGCATACAGATTAATAAATTTTAAGTTATTTTCCGTACCAAAATGGTGAAAATTGCACAATATCTTTTATGTTTTATAGCCAAACTTTCATATATGCGACCACTTCTCAACGTTATCGAATACCTCAGATAACTGCCCACCGATTCAAAGCACCAAAACTTCAGTTCCAGTCAGAACCCTGCAGTTGGAACCTCGTGAACGACCATCTTCAAGCGACTACGACCACTCTTTGGGGTTACGGGTTAACAATGTACGACGGTGTTTTCTTAAACCACATGCAGTCAATAAACTTACTCTGCATGATCTCTAGCTATCTCTATGCTCGCGGTATCATGTACTGCTCCCAAGAGTATACAAAACACTTTTACAAGTGACAACACACATCACAACTTAGAAATTGCATGAAATAAATTCTTTGCCGGAAAGCAGATATCTCTGGAACTCTTCTCGAAAGAGACTTCTGTGGTTTTTTTCTCGCGATAGAAAGCAACTGCCTCATCCTGTAAGCGAGCACTTACGGAGAGCATCATTTTCTGTAAAGGAAACCAAAACATCGATCAAAGGTTCAAACTAGTCAAGATTTCAAAAAATGAAAAGCCAAGATTTTACCGACAAAATTCTGAGAATTCACTGATAAAACTTGATTGTTAGACTAATTCATTTGTTAATAGGCTAACGGTTCTAAAAATATTTTTGATTTTCTCGTCTTGAGCTAAAAACAACTTGGGAGGGATTATTATCCGCACTGATATCATGCTCTTAAACATACAAAGCTTTCAACACAAGAACATTTTTCTAAGATGCATTTACTTAAACATACAAAACTCTGAACAAGAACATTTTTCTCACATATATTTAACGTGGTGGGCTAGAATTCTGGTGGCGGAACAAAATAGCCACTGAAAAACAAGAGAAAGGCATTCTGCGAGGCCAGAGCAGACTGCGATCAGTGATAGTCTTAAAGTGATTTTTTATTGTCTGAAAACGTCTTCTCTAATTCAGCTTACCTCGAGCTCCTTCCTGTCTCTTGTAGCTGCTGTTATCTATGGTCATGATAAGATTACCAAAGCCAAGACACTTTTGGAGGAATTTCCGTCATTGATGTACTAAATAAAAAAAAATTCTATCAGTTTTACAAGTAGTACTTCATAACACCGCCCCTTTAAAAGGAGTCTTGAGCCTAAAACGGGCATATAGTAGTGATCTTCTGCTTTGGTTTGCAGGACACGCCATCAAGTGTTACCAATGTCGGTCACCAAAGAGTTGGGATGACTGTGTTCCTGGAAACGATACGGCATGCCCTTTGCCCACACTTGACAGTTGCTCGAAAGTCAAAATAGTATTAGAAAACGAGGAAGGCAAAAACGTCAGCGCTTTCGTCAAATCATGTGCTGAAAAAAAGAGTTGCAACGAGGACAGCTGCAAGTCTGCCGCACAGGCTCTGGGTATGCAGTTCAAAGATTGCGATGTCAACTGTTGCGACACCGACCTGTGCAATGGAGCCAACGTAACGATGGTCCAACCTCCTTCCCAGGGAAAAGCCCTGGGAACGAGGTTGACGATGGTCAGCAGCTTCCTGTTCTTGGCATGCGTTCTAGTAGCTAATTTCCGTTAAAATATGTACACAGTTGTTTGAATCCGGCAAGTTACAGAATTTTGTGCTACGTTTTCTTAATTGCAGTTGATCAGTCTAGGTGTTTTGGTTGACTTTACGACTTAATTTGCTCATGTACATGTAGTGCTGTAATTGTCAGTATTGTTTTCAAAAAATGAGTAAATAAAAACATTATAATTAATTAAAGTCACCGTATAGCCTTGATCAGCCTATTTTTATACTGGTAGCCTCCTCGCTTTCGTTTGGCTCACCACTTTAAAAAGTAACAATTGTGATTGTGAATATAATCAGAAACATATGAATGGACCTATAACCATGGCGAGGTTTATGACCGGGATTTTGCGGTATTAGTTTCCTTTTTCCACTTGAGCATATAGTAGTTTGCGAATACAAACGTCTGTACTCGCTCCTCGCGGTTAAGGATGTTTCGGGAAACGTCTTTCGCGATCGGCGACAGGTTAGGTGGTTTTGGGGGTCTCCATCCTTAAACAGGGCATCATTTTTGCCCTTGTTGGCGTTTCATTTTTCAGCTTGGGCCTTACTGCGCTTTTCACAAACATGCGAATTCTGAAGTTCAAAAGCCAACTGACGATTGCGTTTTTTGCTGCCGTCAATCATCTTAACGGACCTCTTAGGAAACAAAACATTATATTAGGGGGTTCAAAAGGTCAAGGTTTGTGGTTTGTGATTCGTGGATTTCGATCCGTTTTGTGTGTTACTGTGTTTCCAGGTTCGTTGCTTGTGATCGTAATTATGATTGACGGCAGCGAAAAACACAATTGTGAAGGCGGCTTGTGAACTTTAGAGTTCGCGTGTTTGTGAAATGCGCAGAAATTATGGTACCAGTTTTCGTTTGTATCACCCTTCCGATTTTGTCACATGGCAAACAACTTCAGTGCAAGCTTTATATTTGATTAAATTTTTGGAAAATTTTGACTCCCAAAATATCATTGAAAGAAACACTATTGAAGAAATGGCACAAAATCTTTTTACCACCCTGCTACATAAGACGATATGTGTTGTAATGTCGGCCGGTGTGATCATAGCATACGACACTGAGAAATTATCGTTCAAATGTTATATGATTACTAGTGGTCTCAAAGTTGCTATATCCCATTTGAAAAAATGGCATTTTTCCATGGGCGTCTTAGGGAATTCATGATCGAGTGTGTGGGAACTCGCTATCCTGTTAGGCGTGTGCCTGATTCATGACTGTGCCCGCGTGGCCAACGGAGACTCCATCAAAAATTACAAATTGGCAAGTCTTTTTTGAAAAACAAAATATTTTATTTGTTTATTCAGGGATATCTATTTATCCTGGTTTTTTAAAGGGGCTAATTTGTTTGATATTTCATTTTACTGGATTTATGCATTTGTCTCAGTGTATTTTTGTGCTAATATTACCTTTCCCCCGAGTACTTCACTATAAGAGTCTTGCTGAAAATCCGTGACCTCAGGTCTTGCTAAAAATGATGAATATGTGTCTTTTGACTTAGGGCCTTTAATAGGTATGAACTTGAAAAAATGGAAGTGGACGAGAACGTGAATTCTTTGGGTTTGACAATTGTTAGTTTGGGACAAATTCTTCACAAAACTTGATTATTGTTTTTTGAAGTCTTAAGGCGGACTAATGGTGATGTTACACGGGACGATTCGCAACGATGATTTTAGCGCAACGCACCGTTGCAATGTTGGAACAATGCTGTAATCATTCGAAATTATGTCGCAACAATGTTGAAACGCTGTGTTGCGCCAAAAATCGCCGTTGCGAGTCGTCTTGTGTAACATCACCTTATTAGGAATTGATAAGTTACTTCTTGCAGTTCGCTGAGGCCATTTTTAGTTTACGAGAGCACCTTCCAGGATTATTTCAGTGTAGTCTGCACAAAACATTGGAAGAATTCACTTGATACTGCCTCTGTAATCTTTGAGTTTCCAATATTGGCTCACGGCACAAGTTTCCGCCGCACTCTCAATATTCGAGCAAATTTTCTTTATGAATTTTTCACAACCGCAAGTCCGTACAGCCTGTTCTTTTCCCCAGTTTTTCCATTTGCAAACCGGAAGGAACACTAGCGAAAGAAATCCGGATCCATTATTTTATCTATATGCTATTTATAGTTTTATTCAGTATTGGCCTTTTTATATTCAAGTTTTAAAGGTTACATGCGAACCTCGTTTAAATTCACTTTTACGTTTCCGCACGGCCTTTCGTTCATGTCCTCTTTTTTATTAAAGCAGGTAAATCTTACCCGGCCCACGTAGCCGGGCAGGTTAAAATTATGCGACAGTAGCTAAGAGATCCACCCTGACCAGGACAGTATCAATGCAAGCGAATTCTTCTAATGTGTACGTTGAGATAATCAAATGGTCTCTCAGTGAACTGCAGGAGAAAATTAAGTTTAGTTATCATTCCTTAGTACGCCTTAAGGCTTTGAGCGATTTCAATTTTCCCTGAAAAGCTCAGGTCGCCGCTTTTCTCTTTGCCTTTTCGCTATTATAGTTCATTTGTCAGCAAGATTTGGATATTGTGATGGTTATGAAAGGTTAAGCATGTACGAGAAGCAAAGAGATGTCAGGGCCCGGCATGTAGATACTCAGTTCCCATCTAAAGGGGGCGGGGACTCAAATCTGAACGTGAGTTAAGAGTTTTTTTACTTCCAGAAGTTACAATTCTAAAAAAGACAGCTGAATAAAATCTATTATTTTTCTAATCCGATTCAGAAGCCGTCACGACAATACCTGTTTCTTCTTAGTTTTGCTTTCATTACTCCTTAAAGCACATCCACCAGCGATACCTGTTTTAGGAAAGTGATGAATTGATGCTGCGATCCTTGCTGATGATATCCGAATCTGTACGTTACACCCCTAAAGGAAACAACGAGTGTTCCGCCCGCCTTTCTCATATGGGACTAATACCTCGGCTGATACTTTAGCACTTTTGATGAAGACATATGATCTCAATTATTCTGAAAAAATATTTTACATGTATCAGCTCAGAGATATTTTCTGATTGGCCGGTGCCACTCAAAAATTTGTATATATACAACATGCATGGGTGTATATCGCATGTCTCATTGTGCTCACTACAGTAATACTGAAGGTTCCGCTTTCCAGCAACTCCTAGCAAAAAGAAAATGAATATTTTGTTTACCTGATTGTTGATTTTTGCCTTTTGCCTCTCCGTAGGTAAGTAGAACGGTAGTTTTTCATGTGCAAATACTAGTAATAGTCGAGTAATAGAGTCCTTTGATTCTAAGACGAGGACGAGTACGAGTACGAGAAATTATCAAAAGTAAGTATATGAAGTAATCGGGTGTTAGCCACTGGCGTCATTTTGGCGGGAAAAAGTGATAGGCCGCGTCGTCATTCACGGCTTCTACGGCTTTTCAAGGGCGAAAAAACCGTAGTGGCGTAAGGAAGTTGTCAAATGTTTGAAGTTTTATCATTTTGCTATAGGGGGAAAACTTAAACTCCGTCAATAAAGATAACAGTGCCAGCTTCCTTTGGTCTATTTATTTTTTGGAGAATACACCAAAAAAAGGCTTTAAGTCAAATCTCGTCCTCGAACAGGGTCTCCAATTAATATCGAGAAGTCGTGCTACAACAACTGTTTCTATCTTAACCGTATACACAGTATGCCTAACAATCCTTGTTACCTTAAAACAACCTAATTGCTTTTATCTATTTTTTTTGTTCAGTTTCTTTCAACCTTCATGCAACAAACAAATATTCGGAACAATAAGTACAATGTGAAAAAAGTAAAAAAGAAAAAATAAATCACTAAAGACGACGGATACGATTTAAATCAGGAGAGAGGGTGTCTCTAATAAAACTGATCCGTTCCCCGTTAGCTAGTAATTTGAAAAAGAAAAAAAAATACAATAAAGATAATGTGTCATTAGAATTAAGCAACGTAATCGTAATAGTGATAACCTGGCTGAAACGTTTTCTAGCGGGGTTAGTCTTTGATAGTTTTAATTGACCCAGTGAGGATTGCTATTCCAAAATCAGGTAAAAGTTAGAAAAAAACTCCCCATGGTTGGAAATGGAAAGTTGATAATTAACAGATGCGAATCCAGGACGGGAAAAGCCTATTTTTGACAAAGTCTTTACCTGCAGTAGACCATTTCCAAGTCAACTTCAAAGAAATTGGCACACTGCAAATTAACTCGAAAGGAAAACGTTGCTGTTTAATTTTTCAAGTTTACCTATTGTGTAATCCGTGCCAAGCATTATTTTCCAGTTTACCCTTCCATTCTCTTTTTTAGCTTTTTAGTATAAGTATTTCTCTCGTTATTTCTCTCCTTTTTCTTTCTTTCTTTTTATTTTATTTTATTTCTTTACAGATTGAAGCAGTCATTTGGATATTTTTTCAATGCGGTTATTATATTGTTTGGCCAATGCAAAAAAATAACGTCACCTATATTTAGCCTTTTAGATACCAATTTCAAACATGCCGAACTAGCGGAACTCAAAGATCAAAAGACACGAACAAGCACTTAATCAATACTGAGCATCAATATCAAATTTTCACCACAAGTTATAAGACTGATTTTGTCATATTCTAACGAACAGAGCTGTCTTGATATTGGCATACGTAACAGATCAAGATGCCAATCGCTTCTTGGTAATTATAGTTCTGGCTGGCGTGTCTGAATTCAGGTAACAAGTAAAGTCAGTAAGTTGGTGCATGCGCAAGCCAATTCAATACAGTTGTGTTGCCCCTGTAAGAAGAAGCGACTGATCTTCCGTACGAAAACAACCTACCTGAAGATTTTAAAAGACAAAAATCAGTTGCAAGCTTCGCAGCCAAACCATGATTCACCATTTAGCTATTTTTAATGAAAGTCGTTTATTTGCAGGTCTACACTCTAAACACAAGATAAGGATCGTGATCAGTTCGTTCTCTACAGGATCACAGCAAACCAAGATAAGTGGTGTTTTTAGGTTAAGCACATATCTGAATTTGAAAAACTTAGCCTCGATCCTTTCAAGTCAGTCCTTCCTATCCCCTCTGTTTTTTTTTATGTAACTGATGGAATAAATACAAATTTGAAAACTTTAGTTAGATTTTCAAGTGGCTCAAAGTTTTGGCGACACTGCTCCTTCAAACGTTTCGCCCGAAAGTCGATTCGCTCCACATTCTACCATAAAGGTCATCATGCTTTGCAATATTATTTTTTTAAAGCTCGGATTCCACATGCGGCATGTGCAGTCACTGTCTTTTCAACCCTACGAACTGAGCTTCCTTTTGTTTTCTTCAACGAGGAGGAGAAAAGGAGGCTCGGCCTGAATCACGTCAAACCTTTGAAGTAGCCGCAGCCCAAAGTCTGGACTAGTCAATCTTGTTTTCTCTCGTCAAACTGGTTTTTTCGACTGCGAGCATCGGTTTAATGATAAACCGATGGTCATAACTGAGCCCGCTACACCAAGCGCACGGTCATTAGGCCTGGATTTAAAATTGTATCAATAGCAACATACAGCGCGTGTTCGACAAAGATATCACTTTTCATGCAGAGTCTTTTTCGAGTACGCCAATAATCGAGCAACCGCGGAAACAAACGCTCTGCTGGCACCGGGTGTGTCTTTTCAAAGTTATTCCTTTTCTCAGGCATCGAAAACGACAAATACAACTACCCCGGATATAGGCTATTGAGGAATTCAGCTCCGAAAGTTTAGAAATAGCATTTTTCTGCTTTGGTTTGCAGGACATGGCATCAAGTGCTACCAGGGCACCGCGACAAAGAGTTGGGATGACTGTATTCCTGGAAAAAATACGACATGTCCTCCCGACTCAAACACCTGTGCGAAGTTAGACATAGAAGTGGAAGAGCAAGGCCAAGCCAAGAAGAAATTCCATAAAGCCTGTTTTGTGAAATCGAAATGCAACGAAGCTGATTGCAAACTTCTCGGACTGTTTGGGGTTAAGGTAACAAAGTGTGATGTCAACTGCTGCCACAGCGACCTGTGCAACTGAGTCAAAGTACCAATGGCCAGCAGCTTCTTGTTCGTTGCATGCTCTCTTGTGGTATTTTTCCGATGAGTTTTCACAGTATGGTCGCCCGAAGTTTAGATCTCGTGCTACAATTAAGCGTAAAAATGGAATAAACGTGGAAAGATAATGGCTGCATGGCGGAGTAATGCAAGAGCTTAGTTTTATGTTAACCATTGTCACACAAAGCAACTACGGGCAAAATGTAAAGATTGAGTGCGGTAAAAATATAGGATTCAAGTTGCAATAATATTGTAATTAGATCAAGTTTTAAAATACCCTGAATTTATAGAAACGAAATTAGTCCAGTCAATCTAGGCATTTTTGAGGCTCAACATCAAACTAATTGCAACAGAATTGTTTTCAACGCTATTTAAGTAAGGGTGGCCTATCTAGCAACATACTAAAAATCCGCCAAAATCCGTTCGGTGGAACATGTCAAAATTAAGCGTTAAACATTTTGAGCTTTTAACACAGGGAACCTACGTTAGTTGAAATTATAAGTTCAAATAAAAAATGCACAAAAAGCGTTTGTTACTTTTATGGAAAAGTGAAAGAAGAAAAAACAACTGCTACCTAGTTTTCGGTGTTTAAAACGAAGTGTTTCTCTTTTTCAAAAAGGATAAATATTAAACACGATTGGCTTTTGTACAGAAAGCCCATGCTCCACTCATGGAGCCCCAAACAAGAGAGAGTGAATGATCATTCTCTCTTGCCCCAAAATAACAGGAAGCTTACAGGGTAATAGAGTAAACTGTTGGCTGTAAAACTACAGCAAATTTAGTCGTAAGACTTTAAAACTGAAAAATGATCAATCATTAGCTTTTAAAATATATCCTTTCTTAATCAGATTTCTGTTAGGCGTAAGGGTAAGAAGAATATATATCAGAGCTGGATTTTTGGAAAACGTTACAGCCAAAATAGAGCTCTCCCCTCAAACAGTTTTTTCTTTCGAAAACTATCTTCAAAGAAGTCAACAAAATACTAGGAGTGCAGCCGTTGCTTTTTTTTACTTCTCCTCCTTCCTTTCTCCTCGCTCTTTCTATTTTCCCTTTCCTTGTTCTTTTCTAGCTAAGAGGATTTTCGGGCTCATTTTGCTTTCGGCTTTTGGTCTTTTTCTCAGTCAAAAGACTGCACTTTTCGTTCGGTACGTTTTCAAAAACTCAGCGAGATAATGCTTTGGCTTTTACGGTTACCTTTACAATAATTTTCGTTAACGTACCGACATCCTCAAGGATATGTTTCACTTTTTTTGAAGCTTTTATTTTTCTTCTTGTTAGAAGTGAATTGGAAGGGAGAAGAGGATAGTTTTACTAATTCTTTGCGATGCAAAACAATGCAGAGTTTTTGAGCAGGTTAAGCTCCACTGCCTATGAATTTGATAAGAAGGAAATACCTTTTCATTTAAGGAAAAGTGTTGTTACCTTCGCAAAAAAAAATATAAAGGTTAACGGAACATTCATCGCATAAGAACTTCTATTCCAGCAAACGTTTGTTTCAAGAAAACGAAATAGTATAATAGAGAAACTGGTTTTTAAGGGTAATGTTAACTCTGGGCAGCCAAAACAATGCTTATGTAAAAATATCTTATAAGAGTCTATGGAGTAATGGAAACTCCCCACCCAGAGCATAATTCACCCAACTTAGTCAGAAGGCTAACATGCAGTAAGTTGAAGTGTTACACAACGCACATCCGAAGAGAAACACAGGTTCCGCAAAAAGAGGTGAGCCATCAGAAGCTAAGTCAGGCAATAACGTCGTACATATGTCCAGTACTTTCGCGCCTTTAATGACCACTGCAATTATTATCAGACGTATAGGATCCCATGATCGTTATAGAAAAAGAGGTCTTTATTTGCCAATGGACGAACAAAAACTGGTCAAGGTTCAGGGTTGTTCTCTCAAAAGAAATGCAGGGAGGGAATGGAAACGCCTTCAGACCACAGAGCGATTAATATACTTATTCATCTTACCAAGAAATGAAGGGCTGCCGCAGACAAACAAACTGGACACACAGACACACTAAACTAAATCTGAGACTCGCTACAAGAAGATAAAAAATGAACAATCACACTGCGCTTGGTTTTCTGGATTTCCCTTAAAACAGATTCGGCCAGGTGTAATGAAAAGCGCAGAGCTTTACGATCTAGCAAAAACCAAATAGACAGAGTCCTTAGCAGAATATTGATTCACTCACATTGTAAAGAACGGAGTCATAATCCTACAGGAGGTTGCGCATGTCGCGAGAAAAAAAGAATTCCTTCGATCACACATATTGTATCCAAGGTTTGAACATAACTACCTCGCAAAACTCGATTACAGAAAATGGGAATAGGTTAAACAGTTTGTACTGATACAAAGCTATCGTCCGTTTCACACATTTGGTCGCACGTATCTTGCAGCATGGATGCAAATTTAGCAGCTGCAGTGACTGAAGATGAAAACATATCAGATCAAACTGTTAATCATCAGTCAGCTACAAATTTGAATCCATGCTGCAGCAGGATATAAAAAACTACCAGCCTGTAAAACTGCCAAAATACTTACTGCACTTCTGTTATTGCGCAAAAAAAATTACTTATATTTTTAACCATGTTAACACAGACTGACTAATAATTTCCCTTTTAAATAACGTCATAGAAAAAAAATTAAAGCTTGGAGACAGAGGAGTGGCTGGGTAACCTGTGCAAAGCCCTCAAGACGAAACGCTGACCCAGGTGTTTCAAACACATTAAGTCCGCCGTTTTTAAAACAAAACTACCCAAAATACATTAGCGATGTTGCATCAAAAATTCTTGAGAAAAAAACACAATTATCAGATACTTTGTCTGAATTTGTGATCTTCCTGAAATTGGGTTTCCTGTGGGGAAAGTTGAAAATCTTTATTGCCAATTTTTCTCATGTTTCACCGAGCCGATCTTGGCGGATTTTAAGTATGTTGTTAAATAGCCATCCAACAATTAAATGGCATGAAAAAAATCTGTTGCAATTAGTTTGATGCTAAACCACAATTTGACTGGACTAAATTGTAACGATTGTTTTTAGCGGGTTATTCTCTACTGAAGAAGTCAGGCTGTGACAGACGAGTGAAGGGAAACTATTATACAGTGTACTCTCTTAGCCTGTAAAATCTGTCTTGCTTCATTTAATACTAAAAATTAGCAGCACTAATGCATTTGACTTTGCTGTATTACCTTCGTCAATCTGCAAAAGGGGAAAAAACTCTTACAAGCCAAAGGTAAAACCACAGTGACACATTAAAGGTTTATACTTTGCAAACCGGAATACCACGCAAATAAGCTTCAACGTGGCATGATTTAAGACATTTTGTCCGCTTTAAATATATACTCCGGCTATTCTCTCTTCAGTTATTTATGTATTCCAAGTTTCAACTCCCTTCCCGATTTGCATAGTTGGGTACCCTTCAACAAAATACATTGCATGGCCCATGAGAACACGCTGCCTCCCCACCCATCCCTTCCTTATACATGAAAAAAAAGGGCTTCTGAAGTGAGGGCAAAACGTTTTGAATTAACTGCCATATCAAAATCTCTTAGCAGTTAACATCTGTGTGATAACTGTGATGTCAATCTTGACAACACCAGGTAACTAACTGCATTACAGCCCTTTAACGTGCCAGTAAAAGGTGACTGTCTACTTGTTCCACACGTCATGGTCCGTTGATTGATCATGTTTGTCATTTCTTAAATATTCCTCCTTCCATAACTGAAAGTCTGCTTTTCTGTAACTGAAAATAAGGGAGAAATGGAGATGTTTAGTGTAAACTTTCCATTTATATGCACAAAACGCGGGAATCTGCTCCTAAACACTGCAAACTGCAGTGGCAGATCCAGACCATCAGATACGGGGGGTGGTCATCCAGACCCTGAGATAAGGGGGGGGGCGCTGGTCTCCAAAATAAATTTTTTCGGCCCTTCCGGCCCCGTTTCGGAAAAAAAATAAGGTGTGGGGACCTGGCCCCCCCGGGCCCCTTCCCTGGATCCACCACTGAACTGATCCACATTGCAAGGGGGATTCAAATGGGACACTATTGTAGCTTGAGGAAAAAGAGTAGCCTGCGAAAACATCCATTTCTCCTCACTCTTCGCCGCTGGGGACGTTTCGCGAAACGTCCTCAGCGGCGAAGAGCGAGGAGAAACGGATGTTTTCGCAGGCTAGAAAAAGAGCTGTACTGAGACCAAACATGTCCCAATGCGATCACTGTTTCTTTGGATAAGACCCCAACAAAGAACAACGTTGTTGATAGTTGTAAATGCTAGTTATCAATGACCTAGTTCTTTGCTAAAGTCTAGTAATTATTATTATTTGACAAGAGTAAAGCTAAAGAAGACCTGTGCATTATCAGGGGAAAGCTCTTTAAAAACCCTAATGGCAATAAAAAAAAGCAAAGACCCATTCTCATCACTTGATGAAGATGGATCCAGTCCAATGACGGGGTCTTCGCATGGACCAAGACTAGGAGGAAGTTTGGGTAGAGGGTGCTGCCATAGCCTGGAGAAAGGGAGAGGGAGAGCCTGGAAAGAGAGAAAGGAAAGGCAATCCTTTCCTTTCTCCCTCTCCAGGGTCTCCAGGCGCACTCTCGTGTGCCCAAATTTCCCCTTTTAATGCCTGCCATGCAGGCTAATACTGCCTTTAAACCCTGACCCTTTTAGACAAAATTATTGATTTCACTACCTTGTTTAACCCATTAAGCCCTAAGAGAGAGATCAGCATCAAATTTCTCTTTGTAATATCAATGCTTTGTAAAACAGAGTGGTCATGAGAATTACAGACACACAAGATGAATTTGCTTGATATTTTATTAACTTCTCCCTACTACTTCTTTAGGAAATGAATAGGGCGACAAATGAGAATTCAAATTTTGATCTTAGGGTTTAAAGGGTTAAGACAAGAGACTCTATTTCATGACCCTGATTCATTTCATTTCACAGACAGACTTTTTATTATTTTTTTAACTAACATTGTGGAATTAGATTTTCAGAAAAGAGGATTGCTAGGACTACACAACTGTAATACTGAAGCACACACTACCAACTCTGCAGTATGGCCAGTACCTTACGCATGCGCACAACCATATCACCTCGGCAGTGGCATCCATGGACAGCTGTTTCATCCTTGTTAGGACTCATCAGCATGGCATAGCCAGCACGGTTTCACTTACGATCACAGACCCTGCCTTTACTGCTGAGGTGAGTGCAAAGCACTCCTTTAAGCACAAGCTCCACCATACACATGTGGCAGCTGTTGCCTGGGAACCGCAAGCAGTTCTCGGCAAGCGTATGAAGATGGGATCAGCCTTTTACTGATTAGTGTGCCACAAAATTTGTAAACAAGACCACAATTGTACACTGAAGCACACACAACCAACTACTACAAAATGTAGTCTTTTAAAGGTGTTCAGTCCAAAAAGGCACCCTGTTTAGCAGCACAAATGTACACAAGTAAGCCAAGTAAGGGAAGGCCCCGCTGGGGACCAGAGAAAGTGTCTAAGAGTGACCCACTTATTTTGTATTCTGTTGCTGACTAGTTATTACGTATACTTCTTACAATTTTTCCATGCAGTCCTTCATGGCCTTGTGTTCTTTGCGACAAGCCCATGCTAACGAAAATGTTCGCTGATGTGCACATTTTGTAAAGGCTAGAAAAAAAATGAAAATAAGCAAAAACATCATGAAAGTGAGAAGTGCATTTTATGTACACTTTAAGGTATCTGCACAGGCAAATTTTGCACATTTTTGCATCATTTTTAATGGTTGTTTTATGGATAATATCTATATGTCACCACATTGACAGTATTCCTCAGTTCTTGAGGAACTAGAATATATCAAAATAAACTATGTTATGTCACCCAAAAGGTGTTAATTTAATTACCCCCTAGGGTGACACGGAAAGAGAAAAATCAAAATTTCAGAAGAATCCTTAGAGTTATTGTTAAAAAAGAAATGTAACACAAATAAGGACGTAAGATAGAATAATTCTGTGTTTGACTACGACACAGCTCCAATTAATCCAGCCTCTAGGGCACAATTTGCTATTTTGTAATTTGACCCATATTTTGACATCAATAACTCAGCTGTACGACAATTCTAACCTTTAGTCAAACACAGATCTGTTCATTAACATGCTCTTTGAGTATTTGCCAAATTTCACAAAGAAATAATGATCCATTCCTCCAAAAAACTGGTTCCCGTAAGTCAAGGTAAATCGGTCACGCGGTAATTAACGCTTTTCCAGTGTGAAAAAGCTTATTTTCTTCTCAAAATCAACTGTTTTTCCTCGATACTACCATCACAGACCTTCTTGCCCGCCATTTTGAATCACCGCTGTGTAAAATGCTCGTGGAAGCCTAAGAAAATGCCAAATGACCTCTCTATAGCCCCCTTGGATTTTGATACGTGACCAGTTGCTAGGTGTGACGTATTTCCGGAAGATGCGTTACTCATTGTCAGCTTTAATGCAGTGAAGCACGCCGAAGTATGAAGATTGAAGAAGAGTTTTATTCAAAATTGAAAAGAATTGCTTTTGTAAACTGAAAGAAATTGGCAGAAAAACAGACCAGAGGATTAGGGGCCAAGAAAACGTTTTACTCTCCCGGCAAAATTGTCAGAATATATCAGGTGAGAAGACACACCGATGTAATGTAAATTTAAAACAATATTAAGCCCTGGAAAACGGAGTATATTTCAAGAACATAACGAATTTTGACAAGAAGCAAGTAATATTAGTCATCACAGCTTTAACAGAAGGAAGAAAAATCAAGTTGGACATACAGCGGCTGTAGTTTGTCAATGAATCCAAGCAGTGAATAGATTTTGTTCAGCGCATCAATAGAACTTGATGCTGGAAAGAGGAGTCAAATTGCGTTCCTGCCGTCCATTTTCTTAGTAACGGAAATGACAATTTTTCTTTAACTTCCGGTAAATCAGTCAACTTTTGAGTAGATTTTCTCTTTAATGCGAAGGTATATTCAAAAAAGAAGACCAGATATGCATATTACATCATCTGAACTTACTGTAGAAAGATTTTGAGGGCAAAATAAAATGTTGAAAATTTGCCTGTGCAAATACCTTAAATGTCAGATTTCTCTGGTACAGGGAACTCCTAGAAAGAAGGAAGGAGGTTTTCAAGATCGATTCAAGAGTCATAGGGCTACTACATTTAATATCCATACGTCACTCCCCTGCTGAGGAATTAACTTTTCTTCTTATCCCTGACTGTTAAATAAAATTGCATTAACCCCTGAAGGCTCCCATAACATATGGGTCTTGACTCGTACTCCAGAAGAATTATGTGGGTTTTCTAAAAGGGTAACTACGTCAGTATCCTTGACCAAAAATATTTCCCTGTCTCTAAATAAACAAATGTGTCGGCACTTTGATGGGTAAAATTCCTCTTCTTTTCTTAAGATAGAATTCAATTGTACCTACAGGGGGGTTAGGGGCAGGGGTGGGTGAGGATATTATATGGAACGGTCTTTTATTTCGCGGGCTTCATGTCTTTCCAGACTTACCAAGTCACGAGCTATCTCACGCTCTCATGAGTTGGCAAATGATTTCCCACACTTTCTCTAAAGGTCAAACTCTAAAAAAATTTTGGAATTGAAGGGTTTGTTTCCTAGTCAGATATCAATAGATAGCCAGCTCAATCCAAAGAAAATGCTTAGTGGTCACGTTTGATTAGATTCTCTTAGCCTACCACAACTTGCCACTGCCACCAAATGTGCAGACCTAAATCTCTTGTTTCAAGATGGCCGCCAACAAAACATAGAAATAATATTACAAAACCTCCCACCACGGAGGGAAATGGAAATTCCAGAGGGGTGGGGGGGTCAAAGACACAGGAAATTCCAGAGGGGAGGGGGGTTGGACAATCAAATCACTTTCCAGGGGGTCAATATCATTTCGTTTTCGACCTGAGTTCGAACATTACTTCTTACCGACCTGGCAGATCATTTTTAGGACATGAATAACTTGAAATATATCATTTAAGATTGTTCCTTTTGATCTTAACCAAGTTTCCTTTCTTCCAAAAGCAGCTGGATGCAATTTCAAAGGAATTAGACCAACTACAACTTGTTTTATCACATCCTTGTATATTCGGCCGCCATTACTCGTTACCAGTCTCCCTCAAGACATCAACACGTGCAACACATCACGTTGTGTAAGTCGATCGATTGAAGAACAGTAGAGTGGAAATTTTGTTTCACAAAGCACAAGCTATACATTGTAACCATTTTAGAATGAACAGTTTTTATTCTCCTTTTCATTTTCCCTTAATTTTGTGGTTGAAGGTGTGGCATGTTCGTGATCGAAATCTTGCTGAAATGGTGTCAATTTCACCAAACATTACAGCCATCACGCATCACAATGCATGAGTCAATCAAAAAACAGTAAATTGAACTTGGTTTCCCTTCAAGATACACGGGGGTATTCATTCTTATCATTTCAGAATTCAGAGTTTTTATTCTTCTCTTTGTTTTGCCTTAATTTTGTGGTTGAAAGTTTGACTTGTTCTGCATTCCCGCACGAAATGGTGTTAATTCTATCAACATTACGCCCATGAAGATGAATAACAAATCGTAAGCTTGCCCTGATTAAGGTAAATTCGCAAATATAACCGACTTATTAACTTTATCTGTTTCATTTAAAGTAAAGGATGAGCAAAAATTGCAGATTAGGTTACTTTGTGGTGTGTAGTGTGTTTTAATGTTGCGAATTCGCTCAAATAAACGGAAACAGAAGCATACAAGCTTCTGATGGAAACGGTTGCATACTAGCCATAAATGGCTTCATCCTTCGATGGTAATAGTCTTTCTTTGTGAAAATGAACTTTTCCAGAGGGGTTGGGAGATCTTTGTCACACTTGTGGAAATTCCAGAGGGGTGAGGGGCCATCAGTTCCCTGCAAAAATGGAAAATCCAGGGAGGTGGGGTGGTCCTAAGTGAAATTCCCTCCGTGGTGGGGGTCTGGATATTTTCTGGACCTACACAATCGTAAATTGATCTTGACCTGATGTTTGCAGAACTTGCATTAAAGTGATATGTGACTTCCAATACCCATAATCCCAACTGGAAGTCCTTCAACATCTCACAACGTTTTACCTTTTTCTCACTACTTTCCCCAGCTCCAGGTTCAGAATAATCTCACATTTTGGGGGGTTTACCTCGGTGTAAAAACCGGAAGTTTTCTTGGTTTTCTAGCCATTATTTTCCTTGGCTCTATAGTGTTGACTTCTCATTGGCCTCTTTGTATTCATTGTTTTACGTCACTCGTGAGTTTCACAGGTTTTTACACCGAGGATGAGCCCATTATTTTGTTGCCTTTTGGGGGTAGGCAAGCCTGTCTTTCTTTATGTAACTTGCGATCAGGCGTGGAAAATGACCGAACCTATTTTACTATGTTTCTTATAGACAAAGCTACCAACCTTTCACGGCCGAATCACAGGTAATTTTAGCTTTCTCCTTCATCATATTAGAAATAAGCGCATCTTTCTCAAATTCACTCAAATTATCGTCTGCAGCAGCCATATTGGATGTTACCCATACTGCAAGAGGGGCAGACGAAACCGTGGAGATCTGAGAACCACTGGACACAGGTTCCCAGTAAGTTCCCAGTTTGTTTAGTTTGTTGAGGTTTGTAAAATAGTTCCTTTGTTTTCGTTCATAACTTTTCACTTTTATTTTCTCCTTTAATTCGCCGCGAAATTCGGAACTGATCCAAAATCTATCAGGAAGCATGCAGGAAGAGACCTACCTAAATCATTTTAGAAACAATCACTTTGTGGAAAACAGAAAAAGTGACAACAACACGAGGCTTCATCGCCTGGAATCTTGTCCTCCGTGGTTGCAGTTTAATAAATACATTCTCCATGGATATCGGTGCAATCTGTCCACTGGTCAGTGTGTGGAGAGCCTATTCTACATTCATAACGAAAGCTTTAATATTTATTCTCATGGTAAGTAAATATGAAGCCATAAAATTAATGCAGCGGGTTTTATTCAAACACACGGGCTTTGTAAATTAAGAACAGGGTTCCCATCCCCTGGCACGCAAGAAGCTGAAGAAGGGGAATAGAAATAAAATGGGTTAGTTATAATCATCCGAGGACTTAACTTTTAAAAAAAAATAGAGCCTGAGCGTACTGGCATACTGGCATCTGTTAAGACAATTTGAAGTTCAAAACAGAATTAGCAAGTGTCAGCTGATGTTAGTCACTAAAACAGAAATAAATTTACTTTGAACTTAATAAATAGCTATATCAAGAGTTTTATTACATTGAAGACCTACATAATTTTCAAAATGATCCATATTCTAGTGAGTCCGAGATTCTGAGACTTAAATAAATTCTAAGTGCCAAAAATGTCTAAAGGTCAAGACTCTGTTTGTTTTGGCAGACAAGTGGCAGATCCAGGGAAAATGCCGGGGGGCCCGCCCCCCCGTTATTTTTAGACCAAAATGAGGCCCGCACCCCCCCCCCCCTTTTCTGAAGGTCTAGATCTGCCACTGGAGACTCACCTGTTTTGGATAGACCATTCTATACCCCTTGGACCTATAAGACGTAAGGCATGCTTCACGTCAGTGGCACAACTTGGTTTCAAAAACATTGTGCCACTGCCTTGCTTAAGTCACATCTAATTTGATCAATTGAGCTTAGTGTAGCAGAAGCAGGATGTTTGAAACAGGCTTTATTTCACTTTTGCAGCTAAGACTAGATTCATTCTTTCATTTTTATTTCAGGAATCCCATGTGCTGTTATCTTGGTTCTGATTCCACTAACAGCAAGTGCTGCTTGTCTGGCAGACCCAGTGTGGTTTTTCTTTCATTTCTTTGCCTGTTTTGCTCCATTCTTTGCAAGTCCTATTTATCATTTATTTATGTGCCATCAAGGAGGTTGTGACACTTATCAACAGCTTCTCACTTTCGACGTTTGTGGAGTTTGGGCAATAAATGCATTTGGTGGTCTCTGCGGAATTCGAGCAACTTTGTATTGTATGCCATTTTGGGGAACCTTCTCTCTAACATTTTACATCATAGTGTCTTTGCTGTCTATTTTCCTAATTCTGAAAGCAAATAGTGCAAAGGAAAGGTTTAAGCCTTTAATAGTATTTGGAGTAATGAGATACTTTTTCATCAGTGTGCGGCTGTCCCTTTATACCTTCAACTGGACTACCATCATTACTCCCATCCCACATTACCTCTGCATGGATCTGCTGGCTTTCGTTGGTGGCACACTCAACGTTGCCAAGATACCAGAGAGGTGGTTTCCTGGGAGGTGCGATTACATTGGCAACAGTCACCAGATTATGCATGTTCTAACAGTAATAAGTGTTTATTGTTTACATGTTGGTTCTGTCCATGACTTCAATTGGATGCAAGATGCTGTTTGTCACTGATTCAAAAACTTTTTAGTATTAATACTAGTAATAAGCAAAGGTTACGGACTGCAGGCAACATCGATGAAAGGTCAAAATGTTTTTGCTCTATCATTGTACTTTGAGTAAGTTTCACGTCACAGATAGTAAAAACAGGTATATTTCCACGACACAATTAATCAGTCATTTAGGGTGCATTCATTTGCAACATATGCGTATAGTTATCGCAGTTGCCCACTGGAATTTTTTTAATTGATTTTAGGCTTAGAAACAATAAAAATTCCAGCAGGCAAACATGACAGCTATACACGTATGTTGCAAATGAATCCACCCTTAGTCAGCCAATTTATTACTGTAAACTGCTGTTTATACACCCAGCCATTTTTAACTTGCCACTTCCCCCTCCCCACAGTTATAGGCCCATCTACCCGCAACACATTTATGATTAGCACTGCCATTTATAAGCTATAGAAAACGTTTTCTGTGTTTGCATAGCCTGATATAATAATAATAATAATAATAATAATAATAATAAATATTAATCTTATACTGCGTATATACAATACAAATATTTTCATATGCGCATAACAGACGATAAGGTAAAAATAAGTCGAATTAAAAGCTATTATGAAAATGTACGTCGATCAAATAATGACCCAAGCTAGATTTTCCCTTTCCCTTACGCATTACGCGGCTCTTCTGTTCATAACAGAAAATTTGAGTCCCTAATGATTAAGGAAAAGATTTTACGATTTGTGGGGTTTGTGTGGCAAGAGAAATCCTTCTAATTTTCGGCTGGCTGTTCCCTTCGCTCAGGCTGCTTTTGAAATACCTAATTTTTATATGCTATTTCATTTCCGATCCTGCTGAAAAGAATTGTCCAAAAAGAACTGTTTTCATGTTAGCAGAAAGTTCACCACGTGCGACTGCCTAACTATATCGCAAAAATCGGCAAACAAAGGGAGCCGAGCAAAGAACTGAGGAGCGGGAATATGCTGTGTGACATCCCTTCTCAAACTCCAGCTCGTTTCGCCTTTAATTTTCCTTCGCGCTCTCCACGTTCTTCGCTTTTTCCCCCACTAAAGAGCCTGGTCTTAGGCTATTGAACGTAGCTGACGAAATAGTCACAATCAATTGCGATTAATCTCCACTCAAGTGGCTAGGATTTGATATTCTTGTGGCCCTAAAGCAAATCTTTGGGCGGGCCAATAATTAACTGGTGGCCGAGGGAATTAAAAACCATTTGCGCTTGATTATATTTCAGAACAGAGCAGACAAAGGAAACATAGAAATCAAGTTCAAAACATAGAAACTAGGTAAATAATTCAATCAACTGCCCTGACTACAATGACCAGCTGGAACGACGGGTTTAGGACGTTTAGGCGGGATTTGCCAGTTACCGGTCGGGATCAGAAATCATACTTCTAAGCAAGTCAAGTAATATCGTCATGAATTTTAAGTTCAACCAAAATCATTTATCAGCGTCACAATACCACTTTCCATAGAGGATAGAGAGTCAGGGGCACCCAACGAGGATATGGTTCAAAACCACTTAACGTAGCATTTTTGAACGTATTTTAGTATTTAGACGGTAGATATAGGCATATTTTTATCCCCTAAAAACTTTTCCTCTGTTCGGATTTCCTAGCTGAAAGTCTAGTGATCCGAAAATGATAGGGATCAAAGCTTACCTTTTCGAAAATTTCAGCCAGGAAAAGGCTCCCGAAAATTATAGGTGGCCTTTTTTAGGGTAAAAATCCGTTAAAAATGGGTAATTATACCATTTTGTAGATGTTCGAAAATCCTAGGAGTGGCAGGCAAGCAAGAAATTTTACAACAAATGTTCCGAAAATTCTAGATCTCGAATCGTCTTCCGAACAGATATTTTCCGAAAATTGCCGTTGGATGCCCCTGGAGAGAGCCCTCTCTTATCCCTCTTGGTCGGCTTCAAGATGCGAGGGAGAGAGAGGGGATATATGTTTCTTTTCTTTCTAAATTTCATATTTTATATTTAACTTGTGATCTTTTCAACCACGTTTCATGACTGCAGCGATCGCCTTTGCTTTTAATTTATTTAATATCTAAATGTCGATATTTCCTTTGCATCAGTGACTTTGCTGTATCTTATGTCGATCTCTCTTTGGTCTCTTTGCTTCAGTAACTTCACTGTTAATATAGCAACAACGCAATATCCTTACGTAACCTGTGCTTATTTATCGTTTCTTCAAGTGCGAATAAAGGTATTTTTGTACGCCATGCAAGACGTTTGGCTTTTATTTTTAGCAGTTAAAATAAATTTCTTACTCATCAGGCTGACAAAACAGATAGCGTTATCCTACTTCAGGTGCTGGTTTCCAATTCTATTTGCCGATACTGGAGAAAGCTGATCCACTGATTCACCAGCGAAGCGGAAAACTATTGGGAACGCGATACAAATTCTTCACCTGATACGAAAGCACAAGATTAGTTTCCTACCAATGAAAACGTTGAACGCCATCGCACACTATACTTAATTGCTATATTTCACGAGGAGCCGCAAGGGGTGATATTTTTGCACGGCATCTGGCGGCACATCAAAGAATTTGGAATTGAAGGGCAAATTCCTAGAATATCTTCGCCAGTTAAGCTAGAGAAAAGGTGTTAGAAAACCTCAGGATCCAAAACAACACGTCAATCAAAATATCACTTGGACCTTTTCGCTAATGAAGAGCTATCACGCGGCTAAGCTTGAATTAGACATATATTGAAATAGGAACTCGTGTCAATAAAGTATCAGAAGTGAGCGGGAATCGCTCCTGGTTAAAAAACTGGTTCACAGGGATATGCATCTCTTCTAGTTAAGAGAAGGGAATCAGAGCTGCTTTTCATGCAGGAACAGGTTTTCTTCGGGCTAACTACAAAACCTCAGCTTATTTCACTCCTTGACATTGTCAAAGCGCATTTTGTAAAGATAACTTTTTCCGCTTTATGAGCTTTTTTTATATTCTATTCCATAAATGTTTAACCTCCCTCAAAAAGCCAAGTAATATAAATGCTGTTGTTAAAAAAAGCGTTTTACTTGTTTACGTGAATTCGCTACCCAAAGATCACTATGCTGAAAGGACAGGGCAAAATTTCCAGGAGAGAGGCATTAATTTTTTTCCCACGAGGTTACAAAGAGAAAATGCAATGATTGTTATTAATGTAACCATCAGGTATACTCTACCCACGAGTTTACGGACAGCAAATGCAGTGATTATTATTAATGTAGCCATCGGGTATATTCTACCCACGAGGTTACAAAGAGAAATGCAATGATTGTTATTAACGTAACCTTCAGGTATGTTCTACCCACGAGGTTACAGAGAGCAAATGTAGTGATTATTATTAAATGTAACCGTCAGGTATATTCTACCCACGAGGTTACAAAGAGAAAATGCAATGATTATTATTAACGTAACCTTCAGGTATGTTCTACCCACGAGGTTACAGAGAGAAAATGCAGTGATTATTATTAAATGTAACCGTCAGGTATATTCTACCCACGAGGTTACGGAGAGCAAATGCAGTGATATTATTAATGTAACCATCAGGTATGTTCTACCCACGAGGTTACAAAGAGAAAGTGCAATGATTATTATTTACGTAACCTTCAGGTATGTTCTACCCACGAGGTTACAGAGAGCAAATGCAGTGATTATTATTAAATGTAACCGTCAGGTATATTCTACCCACGAGGTTACAAAGAGAAAATGCAAAGATTATTATTATCGTAACCTTCAGGTATGTTCTACCCACGAGGTTACAGAGAGCAAATGCAGTGATTATTATTAACGTAACCTTCAGGTATGTTCTACCCACGAGGTTACAGAGAGCCTGCAAATGCAGTGACAATTATTAGATTTTAGTGCAACTATCAGGTTGAGTTCCTCCATTAAAAGAGTTTTTGCTAGGGTTAAACAAGTTTGGCTTTCATGAGTTTCAAGGTGCAAGAAATTATCAGTATAATTATAGCAGACAAACATTGTCATCTAATTTTTCGCACGTAGCCGGAATAAGCCAAGAAATGAAGCATATATAACGAAAAATCGTTCTCAGATGATCTCCATATTAAATAAATTATACTAAACGTTGCGAAAGAAATTATTGTTCGTATCCGTCTTATCCATTGTAAAAGCGAGGGGTCATCGCATGACATCCGGTATATTAAACAGAGGTAATACTCACGGGTTTCACGAGTTGTATGCACTATTTTTCGCCGAGAAACAAATTTAAACTTCAATTCTTACCTTACAGTAGTCCGTTCTTTTACCTTGCATTCGACAACAAATCTGTTAAAGGCGAACAAAGCGATTCCGGCACTCTTCTTTATGATGAGTAGCAAGCCGCAGGAACTGAAGCCGCTTGACTGAAGTAAAATCCACCGATATGCACGGCATTCTCACTACAAATATAAACAAACGTTGCGGGGAAAAAACGACGAGGAGGAAAAAATGCCAGATCTTCGCCTTGGCAATGTATTCCAGCTACCATGCCGGCGTATCTCCAGAAGGTGGACTCGAAGTGAGACAAACCTTGTGAATTTTTTTAGACGCCCTTTGCGCGCAAACTAATTTATTCTGGCGCGAAATGAAGATTAACAATAGGTATACTGAAATCTAATCCACGACAAGAAGATTTTCGCACTGTAGCGCGACATATTAAATGCCTATTTTTACAAGTATGCGGAGAAAGTGGTCCACTAGTTTAACTTTTTAAGATGAATTTACTCCACAAAGGCAAAATGAATGTTTTATCTCTATGTTGTTTACGTGCCGGATTAGAAGGCAGAAGTAAATTCATCATACAGACCCCATCAAAATGAAAGTACACGAATGAAACGGAATAAGTCTGGAACGGTTTAGTTTCTACTCGGCAGCTTCTTTGCTTTTATAACAAAATTTAATGTTGCAGTCTGTTTTAAACGTTGGCATATCAACGCGTACAGTCACTGAATGAAAACAACAGTCACGATCACGTTCTTCGAAACCGACCAGACGCGCGCGACCTACCACTGTTATGGCAAGCAATTATCCTGAAGGTGTTAATGTTCCCGTGACAGTCTTCGCACTGAAGGTGTAAATGGTAAACCGAACGGTCGCTTTGATCATCAGAAAGACCTGTCAACTTTGATGATTTAACTGATTAAATTACGGGACAGAAATTATACTCCTTGCGGCTCCTCGTGCTCCCTGGCCGCCATTCACTTTTTGAGAGTCTATCCAGAACTTTGAATAAGGAACAACCCTACTTCAAGGACGGATTACCTTGTTTCAGTTTCTGGTGAGCCGTTTAAGAATATTCTAATACACCAGGGGCACCCAACGAGAATATAGTTCAAAACCAATAACATAGCATTGTTGAATGTATTTTAGCATTTAAACGGTAGATATAGGCATATTTTTATCCCCTAAAAATATTTCATCTGTTCGGATTTCCTGGCTGAAAGTCTAGTGATCCGAAAATTATAGGGATCAAAACATACCTTTTCTAAAATTTCAGCCAGAGAAAAAGCTCCCGAAAATAATAGGTGATCTTTTTAGGGTAAAAATCCGTTAAAAATGGGCAATTATACAGTTTTTTTAGATGTTTGAAAATCCTAGGAGAGGCAGACAAGCAAGAAATTTTACAACAAATGTTCCGAAAGAAATTCTAGAGCTCAATTCGTCTTCCGAACAGATATTTTCCAAAAATTCCGGTTGGGTGCCCCCGATACACTCGTCTTTTCTAAACTCTCTTTACTGTTCTACGTATCATTTCATTTCTCGCCAACCAACTACATTTTTAATTACGTATTGTATATGAATTATCAGTCCACTTCTTAAATCATTGTACCACACTGGTACCAGCCTCTTTATGCACTTCTATTTGCCGCAACAGGTCAGTTCTTCTATTTAAAACAGCACAGTAAACTCGACTCTAAGGAGGCAAAATTTCTGTCATTTGAATTCATTTTCATCCTCTATTTTATACTGAATGTCCACGGTTTGTTTTTTCTAAGTTTTGATAAAGAGCAGTTAGTGAGTATCCGTCCATTGGCTCTTCTGGAAAGGGCGCCTTAAAATTAGGAAACTTAACAATTCGGAAACAATTAAACAGGGGCACCCAACGACAATTTTCGGAAAATTATCTGTTCGGAAGACGATTTGAGGTCTAGAATTTTCGGATCATTTTCTGAAAAATTTCTTGCTTGCCTGCCTCTCCTAGGATTTTCGAACTTCAAAACAATCGTATAATTGCCCATTTTTAACGGATTTTTACCCTAAAAAGGTCACCTAGAATTTTCGGGAGCCTTTTTTCTGGCTGAAATTTTCGAAAAGGTATATTTTGATCCCTATAATTTTCGGATCACTATACTTTCAGCTAGGAAATCCGAACAGATGAAAAATTTTTAGGGGATAAAAATAAGCCTTTATCTAACGTTTAAATACTAAAGTACGTTCAACAATGCTATGTTCATGTGGTTTTGAACTATATTCTCGTTGGGTGCCCCTGATTAAAGGCAAACGTTTGTAAAATTCGGCCACTTTTCGCATTATGTCTTCGTTATTTTTCTACAGATCACGTTCAAAGTTGGCATCTTTACTAATTCTCGTTCTTTTCCCCGTGTTGACGGATTTTCGCTGTTTTAGTTCATAACCTTTCCTTTTATTTTCTCCTTTTATTCGCCGCGAAGTTCACAACTGATCCAAAATCTACCAGGAAGCATGCAGGAAGAGACCCACAGAAATCATTTTAGAAACAATCACTTTGTGGAAAATAGAAAAAGTGACAACAAGACGAGGCTTCATCGGCTGGAATCTTGTCCTCCGTGGTTGCAGTTTAATAAATACATTCTCGATGGATATCGATGCAATCTGTCCACTGGTCAGTGTGTGGAGAGCCTATTCTACATTCATAACGAAAGCTTTAATATTTATTCTCATGGTAAGTAAACATGAAGCCATAAAATGCAGCGGATTTTTTTCAAACACACGGGCGTTGTAAATTAATAACAGGGTTCCCATCCCTGGGCACACAAGAAGGGTCATAGAAATAAAATGGGTTAAAACTTATATATAATCATCCGAGGACTTAACTTTTTATTTTGACTGTTTTAAAAAAATGGAGCCTGAGTGTAACACAGGCTTTAAATACTGGAATCTAATAAGACAATTTGAAATGATAATTGCAAAGTTCATAACAGAATTAGCAGGTGTCAGCTGATGTTAGTCACTAAAACAGAAATAAATTTACTTTGAACTTTAATAGCTATATCAAGAGTTTTATGACATTGAAGACCTACATAATTTTCAAGATGAATATGATGATATTCTAAATGCCCCGGGGGGGGTACTCCCTTACAAGAGCCTAATGGGGATGTGCCGCTGGATGGGGTCGCATTTTCACGACTGGAGTGACTATAATGGGGTCGCATTTTCAATAGAGTTACTAGAATGGGGTCGCAAATTCTCGAATTTTGGGGGTAAGTAGGGAATCAAAATGGGAAGATTCTCAGTTAAAAAGATCAGAAAGTTGTTTATTAAATTGAACAATAAGCTTGCATTGACCGCATTGCATTCCGTTCTTGAAACCACAACTTAAATATTAACCAGTTACTCAATAGCACAAAACCACGGGTCCAGAACAAAGTCCACCGAAACATCAGTGCTACGGCATTTACTTTTCTACTGGATTGTTATCGTCCATCGAAGATAATACAACGTGGATCTTCTTTTGTATTAGCGAGCGTTTGATCTCTTTTGCTTGGGACTTGTCTTCTTTGAATGTGACATTTACAGGAACATTTATACCACCTCCTTTCTTTTCAACTATTTATGACGGTACGTTTGTAAATATTTACGGTTAGCAAACGTACCAGAATGCTTGTATTGTAGGTGAAAGTAAAGTATTCTTTATTCAGTTTAAAAATTGTGTCAATTCGTTTTTGGATGACCCGGTTTTTAAAGGATTGGCAAGGTAGATGCATAAATAGAAAGTGACTAAGTTGGGATCGCAAAAATTACATTTTCCAAAAAGTGATTAAGATGGGGTCTATAATTGGCCAAAAAATAGACTAAAATGGGGTGGGGGCTCTGAGAGGCCAGCGGCACATACCCAGCAAACATTAACCCAAGTACCCCCCCCGGGCTAAATGCCAAAAATGTCTAAATGTCAAGACTCTGTTTCTTTTGGGAGACTCACCTGTTTTGGATCAGACCATTCTATACCCCTACAAGAAGAGATTTCACTCAAGACATAAGGCATGATACACGTCAGTGGCAACAAAACTTGGTTTCAAAAACGTCGTGCTACTGCCTTGCTAAAGTCGGCACAGCAGTAGCAGGACTTTTGAAACAGGCCTTACTCCACTTTTGCCATTAAGACTAAATTCATTCTTTCATTCTTTATTTCAGGAATCCCATGTGCTGTTATCTTGGTTCTGATTCCACTGACGGCAAGTGCTGCTTGTCTGGTAGACCCAATGTGGTTTTTCTTTCATTTTTTTGCCTGTTTTGCTCCATTCTTTGCAAGTCCTATTTATCATTTATTTATGCGCCATCAAGGAGGTTGTGACACTTATCAACAGCTTCTCACTTTCGACGTCTGTGGAGTTTGGGTAATAAATGCATTGGGTGGTCTCTGCGGAATTCGAGCAACTTTGTATTGTATGCCATTTTGGGGAACCTTCTCTCTAACATTTTACATCCTAGTTTCTTTGCTGTCTATTTTCCTAATTCTGAAAGCAAACAGTGCAAAGGAAAGGTTTAAGCCTTTAATAGTATTTGGAGTAATGAGATACTTTTTCATCAGTGTGCGGCTGTCCCTTTATGCCTTCAACCGAACTACCATCATTACTCCCATCCCATATTACCTCTGCATGGATCTGCTGGCTTTCATTGGTGGCACACTTAATGTTGCCAGGATACCAGAGAGGTGGTTTCCTGGGAGGTGCGATTACATTGGCAACAGTCACCAGATTATGCATGTTCTAACAGTAATAAGTGTTTATTGTTTACATGTTGGTTCTGTCCGTGACTTCAATTGGATGCAAGATGCTGTTTGTCACTGATTCAAAAACTTTTTAGTATTAATACTAGTAATAACCAAAGGTTACAGAGTGCAGGCGACAACGAACGAAAGTCAAAATACTTTTTCTCTATCGCTGTACTTTGCGTAAGTTTCACGTGACAGATAGTCAGAACATGCATGATCAGATTACGAGTGATAGAAAGTCCAAACGCGCATGATCAAATTGTGTCCGTGCATTCCATTCGTTCTTAGTAAAAGTCGGAATGAATGCTGGCTACATACATGTGACACATGTGTAATAACAACCTGGAGATTAGGTTAATAAACTAGGATAGTAGTGAAAACAAGTGGAAAACCTGGGATGGGGGGGGGTTAATAATTAAATATTAGCCTGAAGACAGCTTAAGAAAACCACTTTAAACCACTGAGGTTTGAGAACTAACCTTAAAACGTTGTACAACTTTATAACTTTATTTATGCATGAAAACATTGATGAGTTAGCCTGTGTCCCAGATGTAATCTAACCTCAGTTAGCAACATCTGCAAAGCAGCACCAATATCCTTGTTGGCCCTTTAAACCCTGGCCTAAGATCAAAATTTGTATTCTCATTTGTTGTCCATATTCATTTCCTACTGAAGAAGTGGGGAGAAGTAACTGTTGATAAAATATCAAGCCAATTCATCTTGTGTGATCATGTCTGTAATTCTCATGACCACTCTGTTTTACAAAGCATTGATATTACAAGGAGAAATTTGATGCTGATCACTCTTAGGGCTTAAAGGGTTAAGGGCCTCCCATGGACTCAAACTGACAAGACACGCAGTTAAATCCTGGTACCCAGGAGGGGGCCTTGAGCAAGGACCGTACCAGAGGTTCAGTTCCGTCTGTGGCATGGCACAGGTTACAGATAGTGCGTGTTGCAAAAATAATATTGGCAGTATGATTATTAAAGGCCATGATAAGAAAATGAGAAACCAGAGATGCTGCTTTTATCCCCAATGACTTGGAGAATGCCATTTCATAGCCCACCGTTCGTGTATCAGAAAGATTTAATTTTGTCCATAGTGAGCATTGGCAGCACACCTGTCCTACTACCCTCTACCCTTAACTATACCTCCACTGTTTGACGTAAGAGAAGTTGTCTATGATGATGAAAGCCCCCGCACGACATAGCCCTTACTTGTACGGCTAGAACAAACTTCCTGCTTGAAAAAATGTTGTTTACAAGGACACAAAACTTTAGTACTGAAATTCGCAAACAACTATGGCACAATTTTTCAGAAACTTTCTTCTGTTTCACACACTACACACAAGATTTACTAGCTCTTGCCTCTTGCAGGGTGGACACTTCTTTCACGTTGACTGTTTACATCAGACTGTAAATACTACGAGACGCTTTCAACCTCTAATTGTGGTGATGATTTTATAGCGACCGGAGTCATGTTCCATCAGGGGCAGTTCGAAACTTTAGTTCCTTTTAGTTTTATCTGATATCCATCCATTCAAGAGGAGAATAAAAACAGCTTGGCCGCGTGCAAAGATGCCCGCGAAATCATCCCTCCTTCGAGTTTGTAGGTGTTTTTGAAAGGTCTGTGTTGCACATTTAAAGTATTTTGTACAGGGCCGTCACTCTCCGCAACCAAGTTGATACTGTCAGCATTTATCTTTGATGTTGCGTTCACTCGCTTTACGTAAGCTAGACTGATCGGTGTTGATGCCATTCTTCCCAAGCGTGCAACACAAGAACGTATTTTAAAACAGCTTCTTCCGCACAAAAAGGGGTTCCCGGGGTTGTCTTTGCTTATTGCTTGCGATGGTATTTGACTGTCCTTTAAACTGTTTTCTCCCACTGTTCGGGACGCTTTAGAGCATGCAAGGGAGTTTGAAACGAGCGCGAATTTAAGCCAATCTCAAACGGGTTCCATGAAAAAAACCTGGAATGAGATCGTCATTTGCGTTGATCAGATCCAAATAATACTGTAAGCGCGATGTTGTAACAAGCTGTATGTTTTAACGTGACAGGCTATTGCACAGTGTATATGCAATACGGCACGTACACAGTGAACCTCAGCCAATCAGATAACAAATCTTACGTCAGTTGGAACCCATTTCCACGCGCCACGCCGACAGAGGCTCGTGATTCATTGATTGTGCAGTTTCACAAAACGTGATTCTGTGTTTTTAGGGTGAAATTACTTTAAATGTACTTTTCTCTGGCACCTAAAATAAAATAAAATAAATAAATAAATAAATAAACAGGATTTAGACTGGAGTTTAAGTAAGGACAGTCCCGATTGAGCAACACTTTACAGAATCTTGTGTAATATTATGACGTATGTTTTGCATGTTTTGCATGTTTTCCTGTCCTTATATGGTAAAATTACGTACGGAAATCAAGAGAGAGTGGAAAAAAGGCCTCACTGCTCTGAGGTAGAAGTTTAAAAAGATCAACAGTAACATGATGGTGTCCTTACGGTATTATTGAGTCATTCAATTGCCGATATTATGCAGTTCTTTTAATAGACTGCTTGCAGTCCGCCTTTTCTCTTAAAATCCGTCTAGTTCTTATCTCATCCAGCGCGATTGCAAACCACGACGTTATTATTACAATACCGGGGATTGAGACCAGACGCCTTCGTTTCTCGCGGCTCGCGGCTTTGCCGCTCGCGTGCTTAGGTTTCGCGTGCAGTAACTTTGCAAAGAAAAATAAATTGCTCTTTGTTTTGATTTTAGCTTAGCGCAGTTCACAATAAGGAAAAAAAACAAAGCTCAGCCCATGGGTTGGTTGGTACGCTGATGAAACAGGTCATGTGTTTGTTAATACCTAACGCACCCCCAAAAATAACGAGATAATTTTTAGGCTATTTCCATCGACGTAACATCCACTCCTGCCATTTTTTTTTTCAACTTTCAAGTGAAACGTGACGGCCGTGAGTCAAACAGAGTGACCAATTTAGGACTAAAAGACAGACTAAAAGAAAAGTAAAGTCTATATAAATTAATACTACCCTCCTTCCCCCTCCCCCCAAATGAAAAAATCTAGTCTGTAGGGGAAAGGTTGAAAACGCTATTATCCCCCCCAAAAGTCCAGTCCAGTTCAGTCCAGTCCTGATTTTCCAACTGGCCAACGTGACGGGCCGGACTTCACTGGAGAAGAAAGTAATTAAACAAACTAGTAATTAAACTCCCATTATCTAGAAAAGAACAATGTCTAACAAAATTACGACGATCAAAAAGATTAACCCAATCACCGTTGCGGAGTGGTGCGGAACGGAAAAACGTGCCGACTGCATTGTCAAAGAGCACAAGGGATGTCCTGCGTCAGGTGGTGTGTTCCATTTGCCAACCTCGGTCCCAGGGTTCTCCTCTATACGGGCAGGGGAGAACCCCGCTGTGATTTCTTTGAAACTTTTGCATTTTATACACATCAACCAAGATCAAGCCTATGCGCTCCTGCATCAACTGAACACAGTAAAATACGTTTCTACCTGTTGCCCCCCTGCCTTGTCGATTTTTTGAATACAACAGCGGAAGACCTGCAAACCAGGCTCCTGACAAAAACTCATGACTGGTCATGACTATGAATGGTTGCAAGAAGGTGTCATTTTACTATCATGTACGACCAGATTCCTTTTCGTTTTTCCTTTCATACTTTAATTTAGAAATCCCAGTGAGGTTTAGATAACAAAAGCCCGGATTTGCAGAGAAAAGCAAGACCCTGAAGGTTTCTGCTCGTAGTAGTATAATGACGTCATCGTGCAAATGACGTGCAGTCTGAGTGAAGGGGCCCAGGTGAAGATTTGCTAAAATGGCCTTCAGTTCCAGTTCCTTGCTTGTAGTCCGGCCCGTCTCGTTCGAGAAGGATGCGCCTAAGCAAAGTTTCCCGACATTATTTGGGGTAAAACACTTGACAGACTAGCAAATTGTGACGTGGTCAAAACATTTTGAAGGAAATTGGCGAATTGGTGGCGAATTTGCCTTGTATAGTAAAATAAATTAGCTTTTCTGATTGAGAATAATTATAATCATTTTCTTTGTATAATGAATATTCCGGGGATTAAAATTAAGCGGAAGCAGGATGGAGCCCATAACCTGGAGAAGCGAACAACTACCGATACTAGGCCTTTGTGTCACGGCTTTTTAGCGGACCGGGTTATTCTTAGGGGCCTGTTTACATGGAGGTGGGAGACCCCAGGTAGGTGAGGTAACCCGCTTAGGTGGGGTAACACACCTGTCCATGATAGGTGTGGGGTGACCCTCCGTGGGTTACCTCACCTATCTATGGGGTCCCCCACCTCCATGTAAACAGGCCCTTAGATACTTTTTATAGCACCTTTCCCGCGAAAAAGGTAGCTCTAATAGATCTGTCTATATGAACGCACCAAATGCTTTATTTGCATGACTATAATTATAAAGGAATTACAGTATTGCAAAAGCTGTTAGTCTAAATAGTCCAGTTTCGAATTAAAACTTACCGCTGAATACAAACATTAACGACACATTCACACAGGGTTAACCTCGACATAAAGTAAAATATTCAGAAATTCCGGCAAGTATGTGTTTGAAATTTGAATATAAACAATAGACAGAGTAATAAACAGGTCTTTTTCTCGTTGGAATTTGTGAATATATTACTTCAGATGGAGGCTAAGCCTGTAAATAATGCGTCTTCACTTCTTTAATTCAGCGGTCATAGGGAATTCGAAACTGGACTATTTAAATATACTAATTCAACTAATAAGTACGTGCAAAACATTACAAAACGTTACAGTATTCATTCATTCATTCATTGATATTAATTTGGTTCTTAATTCAAAGCATTCCGAGATAAATGAAACTAATTGACAGTTAATTAAATAACCAGAAGAATTCATAAAAAGAGATATTAAAGTATCGTGTGAAAGTGATTTGAAGTCACGTATTAGTTTCTAGTTTGGAGAAAAATATGTCTCTGATCTGAGAATAAGCCTTGCAATCTAGTAAGAAATGATTTTCATCTTCGATTTTGTTACTTGTACAAAAGTGACATATCCTTTCATTGCGAGGAATGTTTTCGTATCTACCTGTTTCCATTCTAAGTTGATGACTACTAATTCTACATCTTTTTTAAAAGTTAGCCTATAAGCCAAAGTCCTGCCCCATGTTGCACCAAAGGTCAATAAAAGACGTGACAAGTGACTGGAACAGGATGGTACTTGGCTGTCCGCAGCCGGCTCGTCTTTCGGTCCCCTTCTGTGGAATTTGTTCCAAAATGACATGTCATTCCGATCCCGGATAAATAATGCTAATCTAAGTATGTACGCGGATGACCATCAGATGTATACCACGGGAAAGAAGCACGACGTAGTCGCGCAAAGTATAAGCAAACCCAGTAAAGTTTCAGCTACTTACAATTAACCCGAGAAATGTTGACACAGACAATAATAATCAAGATATTTCCGTAGATGGACATGCTATTGAGAGAAAGGTAGCCTGTTCCGGGCTCCGAGATAGTGGTGAAAAGTCGTTCCGAGAAATGCGAAAAACGCGCGGGGGCTGGGGAGAGACAGGGCCGTCTTATTTTCGCTTTGCTCGTTTTAATACGTCTGCACTATACTATCTGAGAGCCTGGCACAGGCTAAGAGAAAGGGGAAAATAAAGCCTTTAGGGGTTCAAATTGATTAAAAGTTGAATTTTACCAGTCATACAAGTGAACTGTGCACCGAAGGCCAGTCAAAAAGTAGGGATCCTCGTGCGGTAGACTACGAGCAGTCTCTCTTTTTTCTGTAGTCCGTCGAGCAAAACGCGAGACACGCTAATGACCACACGCGTGACTGATGGCGCGAGATGGACTGCCACCCTCGTTTCGTGCGTCTCGCGGCTTCGCCGCTGGTGCGCGCATGCACTCCCCTTACTAAATCTGAAGAAAAAGAGAGACTGCTCGCAGTCTACTAGTGCGGCTACCCAACTTGATACCTTGTAATGCTAAAATTATCACTTTACAAGTCTTTAATTCTGCCCCATCCAACCCAACCTCGTCCCGAGGGCTTATCCCTTGAAATATGGATTTTTAAGGGAAAACCCCTGGGGACGAGGTTGCATCTGACCCAAGTGCCATCTGGTCTGGCACTTTTGCAATGCATCGGATCGCAGAAAGCTAGAGAGGATTCAAGAGCGAGGGCTAAGAGCGGTGTACAAAACCAGATCAGTGTCCTATCAAGATTTGCTAGACGGCGCCAAACTACCGATGTTGTACAATACTAGAGGCGTCCGACAAGACATTGGCACCTTGATGTTTAAAGTTATATAAGCACAGTCTCGTACCCGTGAATACTTCTGACTTATTTAAACTCTGTATAACTTATGAAGTTGACTTCGAACTACCAAGATTCGAAACTGTTAGATTTGGCAGGAATTCAATAAAATATGTAGGACCTCTCATTTGGTCGAAGTTGCCAAGACACTTAAGAATGATAGAAACTCTGAATTCGTTTAAGAGGAACATTAGGAAAGTTAACCTTTTAAGAGCGACTCTCTATAGGAACCGAGTGAGATTGAAAAAATGTGGCACAAGGTTGGAAAAATGGACCCCTTGATATTTCGTCCAGAGATAACCTATGGTATGCTAAGAATCGTGATATAAGTCTTAGGTTCTAGAGTTTTTACAGTTTTGAGAAAATCACGAAAAAACGTCGACAATCCGTGACGCCGAAAAATCACAGAAATGAGGTCAAATTTCATGATCAGATAATCGAACTGGCGTGAAGGCGCATAGCAAATTATGGCTTTCCGTAGTTTACAATTGTATTTAGGAGGTATTGCTGAGCTGCTTTGATGATATTTTAGAATTACAATTGTAATTCCGAATTCCTGGAGAGCAAGCGAAGAGAACCGAAATTTCTAGACTTTGAAAATCAAAAATTCCATACCGTTTTCAAACATCTCAAACATACTCGGTATTATGTAGAATTCTTTCAAAATTCAATTCTAGCAAGTAGAAGAGCTGTTTTTGAACGCGATATATTTTTTTTCTTGGCAAAAGTTATTTCTGAGGCGAGAGGCCCCGTGCAAGTTGACCCAATTTGACCTTTCGAAGAGATTTTGTTTAACCAGGAAATGTAAACGATTCGACTAGCATTAGCTCGCTTTCTGAGCAAACCATTGAAAAACCCTGCCATTTCCCAGTAAAACTACCCAGTAAACCTGAGATAATACTTCGGTGACAGCTTACCTTCCAAATGGGGGTTTGAAGGCAAATAAGTTTGACGTTCTCTATTAATTTTTCCATTGCTTTCTTGTTGCCGCGCTTTATAATTTAGGGTCATATCTTGACATCGAGCTTGTACGCCGGTTCCAGTCCAAGCTAGTGCAACACTTTTCCGGAAAACCAATCCATATGTTGCAATATCAACCTCTCAGTGGGCAACCTCTTGATATTCATTTAGTTTCTTGTATAATAAAAAAATTGCTAAGCGCAAGACGTAAATCTCGGTCTAGTGAGTGTAACGCAATCCTTCCGTCGTCACTTCCGGACCAGGTGATTAATTTTTTTCTGACGGGGAGGGGAAAGAAGTTTTCAAGCAATTTCTTTTTCTTGTTGGTGTTGCACGCAATGCATTTAACGGTTCATTACATGGCCACTGCAACAATTTAATTAAGATTTTCCATCATGATATAAACGTACACAAGAGTTTTTCATGTCCTTTGTTCCAAGTATTTAATACAGTAATTCACTCAATTGCTTTCGCTCAAAATACGTTTTTTCCTTCAAGTTAAAAGGGACAATTTCCGTTTTTCTCCTTTGCGCACTCAGCTATTGCTCAGCTCAGTGGGTAGTGGAAAATAGCTAAGAGTTGGTAACCACACCCTACTAACTCGCCCTAGTCCCCCTACCCCACCCTTGTGCTAACTTTGAATTTAAAGTGAGTGAAAACAAAATGTATTTGGGGTAAAGGACGGTCCATTCCACTTTTTTTTATTAAAGGGGGGTACTGGAAGATTTTGAAAACAAAATTGCTCGGGCTCAAGCCGGAAAACAAATTTCCTGCAGAGCGCAAACTTACATAAATCCCCTGCTGCAACTTAGTGACATAGATTCTAAGAAGAAGTCTATATGACAGTGGTCCCACGATTGACGTACGCTTAGGTTAGGGCTTGCGTGGTATTTGGGGTACTGAATACTGAAGATGGGGGTACTGATACTGAAGAACGTATCCCTATGATTACCCTCCTCCCACCCCCTACCCCACCCTTGTGCTAACTTTGGGCTTTACTTATCCGCTTTGCAGCGACATGTTTGACAGTACTCCTCAATTTTGTCTGCATAGGGTTGTTTTGCGTTTGCTGGATACATCAACAGCAATGTCAAGCCCGGCGCAAATGTCTCTGAGTTTTGCAACCGATAACTTGGTCGTGTTGAGTTTCCCTCCTGAGGTCATTTCGCATAGGTTATATTTATCCCACATGATGGGGTGTCCTGGAAAAAGTTCCCGAGAAACGTTATTCGTCAATTCTTCGATGGTTGCCTCCTGGGTGGCACATTCAATCTCCTCTTCAAGATCATCATCGTTAAAGAGAGACTTCTTTGCCGCAAGTCTGGAGAAGAATCCAGCGACCTGAGATGCAGTCAGAAACTCTTCACTACTGAACATCCGTTTCCCTTGTGAGTCCACGGCAGACATCATAGAGCGCGCAACTGATGCCGGATCACTTTTTCGTCCTGACCGCTCACCTTGTTGAAATTTTTCAGTCAGGTAGTTCTTTTGCTTGTACGTAAATCTAGATCTACGGGAAGCACTTGACTTGAGCGCCCAACCCTTTGGTAGCATGTCGTGAGAAGATGGCGGTTCTGCAACTGCCTCCAGCTCGGGAACAGCTTCGCATTGCCCCTCAAGCCTTTGAGCATATCCAACAGCAGCTCTATCCAGTAGAGTATATCGCTCAAGAGCACGTTGGTGTTTTCCACAGTCTAAATGCCGCTGCATTGATGAATATCTCACAAGTGTTTTGACACAACCCTCCTCAGGACAACTGAAGATCGCCGCGTTACTGTCTTCCTCTTCGATATTCACTGGTGGATCTGGATCTCGAACTGATGCTTTTATGCGCCTCTCCTTGACAGATGTAAATGCGCCTGAGTAAGAGCGAGTAACTCCGGTAAGGGTCGGTAGGTCAGATGGGGATGGGCAATGCAATTTGTCTGTAGGGATGAGTTTACCATCGCCGATACCATACGCCCTCCAAACTAGTAGCCCCTCTTCCTTGTACTCGACATTACTGAGCTGACTAATACCATCTATCTTTGAAGATAGCACCTTCGGTACTTGGACAGTCTCACACAATGCTACGTTAACACCAGGAACTCCACCAGAAGAGAGTATCGCGTCCCTCATCTGCTCAGGCGTCTCGATATCATTTCCAGCGTTAAGATAAATCCTCATATGGGACTTAATAGTCGCAGCCTTCCGATCACATGCCGCCTTGCCCCCTTGTGGATCAGAAAAATCTAGACGCCTGATCTTGACACCTTCTTCATGACCAAGGGCTGCTGCACAGACGAGAGTGGTTCCACAGTGGTAGCAGCCGGCATTATCCTGCCGATAACAGACGGTCTTGAGCCCGGGCATGGCGATCTTGAGTTGCCGAATAACATCGGCCATAACGGCAAGGACTGCGCAGCTGTCTTGAGTACAGGACTTGAAAATGTGTGCGAACGTTAGCATCTGCAACTGCCCTCCTTCTCGTCTTGTGGCAACTGTCAAATGCCATGGGATCCCGCGTTTACCGAACCAGTCGGTCTGACTTTCTCTATACTTCCGAGGAAGATATTTCATTCCCCAATCTTGAACAATTAAAACAGACGACTCATCAATCTCTTCCAAAAGTTGTACTCTGGCGCCATCCTGATTGACGGAACGGAGGAGATGAGACTTCCACGCCAATATAGCGGTCTTTGCATTCTTGACTCGGAAAACAAGTTCTTCCTTCGTGTTGGATGTCATGTTTTGACTTTGCGCAACCAAACCTTCCTCGATATCATTTACAGTTGACGCCAATGTAGCGCAGCGCTCACATACGTCACTGTGATCGTGATCACATGTGGCCTGGAACGAAGGCTCCTTCGGGTCGCTTAAAGCGTATGACCTGCAGTGATCAGCTACTGTAGAACTCTGGGAAACGTGGACCTGCAATAAACGTTTGAAAAAAAGTTATAATTAAGAAGCGCTGCTTTGAAGAGAACTAAGTAGAAAGACAGAGAAGATTTCACATGACTGTCAGACTTGCGTTCACTTCATTTTCCTATTGATTGAGGGGCTTGGTCTGTTGTCAGTGAGCCAATCAAATGGCGAACTAAACCCAGACGCACGTTTAATCATGTCACTATTAAACGCAAGTCAGACATACTTCGCCTCCTGGTTGATTTGTTGTTTAATGGGTTCCTCTCCTGGTTGGCTGCGGTTAGTTGCGGTTTGTTCTACAACAGTCAAGTGAAATCCGTTCTAACATGTTGTTATCATATGTTCCGTATGGACTGACTGGCACGCTTATCGAGTTAGTCCTTTGTAGTAATCAGCCTTTGAGTGCCGGACAGTAGAACCATGAAACTGACAAATATGTAGCGGTAAATAGTGCCAACTGAACAAAATAACACAATGGAAGTGATGCTATTTAATGGTATTTCGATTAACTGCTAGCAAGTGGTAGAGGGTGTTTTTTGAAAGCGAAAAACCCGGAGTGTGTGATCGCAGACGCCATATTGGACGCACAAGAAAAAGATCTGGGGCGAGTGACATAGCGAGGTGGAGGGATCTGCTTAGCGGGGATCACACCCACCTTAAAGTCGCTTTTAAGGTACCGCTTGCTTGCGCGAAGATTATTTTCCTGCTGTTTCGCCCACCCCATGCCTTGTCCTACATTTCCAAGGGTTTCAACAACATCACACAGATCGTCAAATGCTTCCGCACCTGCAGAACTAACATAATCGAGACCTTGAACCGATGTCCGAACAGACGCAGCGCACGTGCTCAAAATCCGCAGAAGAGTAGCGCGGCTTAGTGCCGTGAACCCAGACTCTTGGCAGTAAGTCATATACTGGATGACTATTCGCTCTGGGATAATCATCCGTATGACGTTTGGAACCTTGATAGTCTCCTTCGTCGATAACATGATTGTTCTTTCGCCAAAAGGCAAATCTTGGATAATATGGGGACTAGTGATGAACGCAATGAAGTGGTCGATTTGAGCGGTGGATACTCTCATCCTTGGCGTCGGAACTGTTAGCACCGGTGCACCCCTTCCATATACTAAGCAGTGGCGTCTGGCCTCAGTGAAACGATACTGAGATAAATCGGGTATCCAGTGTCGCAGCTGATTCAGTGTCAACTTATCAGCCATAATGGACAAGACTTGCCGACGCGTCTCCCAGCTGTCGGCTGCGCGGTAGCACTCGGCGAGTGCGCTCATCATGGTTTCGTCGACTGAACTGCTTGTGGCTTCTTCTCCGTTACATTGTAAGGTTCTTTGTAGGACACCAGAGGAATAGACTGCCTTGAAGAGAGAACCACTATCACTTGGAGCTATGTCTTGTAAAAGTGTAGATAGACCTTGACCAGCCTTCCGCACGTAGTAGCGTCGTGTTCTTTTACTTGCTTCTTCCCAAGGCCGCTGTAGCCGAGAACGAATGGGACTGATTCCTCGAGTGCGCAAATAATCATTGAGTGGGTCAGTGGTCTTGGACTGTGGTTCGCGCTTTGTTGTAGCTGGTGTGCTGTCAAAGGAGATCTCCTCAGAGGAGGACGAGTCGTCGCTAGGTGGTAAATAGAAGCTTCCTCCTGGAGTAGCTGGGGTACTGTGTTCAGGACGAGTACGAGTCGTCTCCTCAGCCTAGAACAGCAACGTCAACTGTTATATTGCGCACGGTTCATGAGGCTTTTCCATGTTGATACCGTAAATCCTCTATTAAGCTCCCCCTCCCTCTCTAATAAGCTCCCCCTTTTCAGAGGAGGAAAGTTAATAAGCCCCCCCTCTCTATTAAGCACCCTCTCCCCCTCCCTCAATCCTTATTCTTCACAAAAAAATTAACGATTAACGTGGACTGATCAGTTATGGTTTATTCATAAAAATTACCAAAGAACATGAGGCCGAAAGCACATTTTTGAAGAATAAGAATTTTGTTTTTGTTACTTTTAGGCTCCCACAAGTGAATTAAATACTTTTGACAGTGACTTTAATTGTACAACGCGTAAGTCTACCCTGTCTCATACCACCGCATTTTTGCTACAGGTGATGCGTTTCGCTAAATTAAATAAGTCCCCCCTCAAAAGTGTGTGAAAAAATAAGCCCCCCGGGGGCTTAATAGAGGATTTACGGTATATAGAAAACAAGGCGCGGCATAAATGATTGAAAATCTTTAGAAACAACCATAACAACAGCTTCGCTAAGTATAATTAGGGGGTCTGATTAAAAAAGGGCGATGGAGAATCAGAGTTTTATGGTAACTTAATGAAATTCAGACTTTGATCCTGTGTATAGTTACATATAAAATCAGTGGTATGCGCGAAACTCCCAAAACAGCTAGAACTTACCAAAGAAAGCTCATGAATACTCTCTGAAAGGGCAATAAGTTGTGGGTCTTGGCAATCGGCTCTGACCTGTTCTCCAAGAGTTATCCTACATTCACTACATATTCCTTAAAAAAAGATAAAACAATAATAAATATTGAATAATGATTTAATTTTAGTGTTGAGCATTGCTCTTTCGAATGTGACTTGGCTTTTGTGAAATGTAATGTAGCACTGCAGTCTATAGATTTTATTCGAATGGATACTTACCAGAGCCAACTGGAAGAAATATCCCAGTAATACGCAAGATTAATCTGGAGATGTCTTTATTGATTCCACGATCCGTAGTACGGGATTTTCGGACGTGCTTCGACAGCTGGGCTGGTATACGGCAACGCGCCAAACCCCTTCGCCACCCACTGCCCAGCGAAGAACGATGAGCGGGACAAATATCCATGTCAGAAATATTGGAAGGGAAACTGAAAATTGAAGACCTTGCTAGAATCAGTTCCACTTCAGTGTCTACGCCGCTGCCGGTCATCAGCCCTAGAGAGCTTTTGTGGCGTGATATGTCTTTGTTACAAGTTAGCAAGGGAACTAAATCTTGGACTTTAGCGCTTCGAGGGTCTTGACCGCATTCGCCACCAACTAGCCGCTGAAACGAGCAATTTCTCTCCATCTTCCAATTTTTCAACCGATGACGCAGAGCAAATGACTCAATTTCGGCCGAAGTAAACACATGCGTGCTAATTACTCGGGATGCCGAATTGTAAATAATGTTTGATTTCAAAGTGTTTTTTTTTTCTTTTGGACCAAGTGAGCGCTCAAGGTTACACAGTACACTTCAAAAGACCTAAACTCATTTTCCTGCACATACTCTTTAGTATCTTTGTAAAGTTGTAAAGATTTTAATCCGCGTAATAAGATTTGCCGAATTTAACAAAAAGTTAGGAGGCTCGCACGTGCTAGCTTCGCTTATCGGGCGAGCGTTTTAAAACATCACAGCTCGAACGCCGCGAGAATTCTATAGTTAGAACTTTTTTAGAGGTAAACAAACCGTTTGCCACAGATCTACTTGCGTTTGGTAATTATGTGTTTTAAACTTAGATCTCTCTCCATGGAAACTCTCAAAACAGTGTTACGTGCTCTTTTCTCGTACGAAAAGAAACATGTGTTGTGCGAACCCGAAAGCAAATCATTTTCAGTTTTCAAAGAGATAATTTCGAGAATCATATAAAAGCGTGCGTCTACTTCTGCGTCAAAAGGTATCTTGTTGAACATAATTCCTAAAAAGTTAGATGCGCCACGAAGGGGACCTATTTGCGTGTTCACCTGCCATGGGCAAATTGGTAAATGCAATTAATACAAATTACCAAAACTCGCTTTGCGGCCAATAACTAGCCGTTTTTCAGATATATATTACTATTTCCTTTTATCTAGCTTTAGGAAATCATTAGCAATGGAACTGCCCTGGCATTTGACTTTTGGAGCTAAAACTAGATAGGATTCCTAGTTTGTTGCACAGTCACTAGAAAATGGGAAAAGTAAATGTGATGCGTGTATAAACACCGATTCAAAGTAATGCTACAAAGAACTCTCTTTCAAAATAGGCTTGTGATTACCAATAGAAAAGTTACAAAAAACCAAAACGAAAACATTGTATGCTAGTAAGGAAGAAAATGAAGAAATGAGTAAGAGCAAGACAAAAATATCCACGCGGATGTATTTGCGGCACGTGATCACCTATATGTAAATATTGCGTGACATCGATCTGGGTCTATTTTTCAGTTCAATTCGTTCCCTCACTTCTTGCTTCTTTTCATTAGAAATATTCAATACAAAACTCAATAGATACCCAGAGGATGCTTATATGCAAGACATGCATCCAGGTCCTGCAAAAATATTGCACAAGCCAGAGAAAGGTGACACTTAGAAAATGCCGTAGCCGTATGAAAAGGCCGGTGGCTGAGCTAGGCAGCAAGACACAGGAAAATTAGTGAAGAACATCAAAATTATTGGCCTTCAAACACCCATTTGGAAGGTAAGCTGTCATTGAAGTATTATCTCAGGTTTACTGGGTAATTTAATGGGAAATAGCAGGGTTTTTCAATGGTTTGCTCAGAAAGCGAGCTAAGGCTAGTCGAATTGTTTGCGTTTCCTGGTTAAACAAAATCTCTTCGAAAGGTCAAATTGGGTCAACTTGCATGGGGCCGCTCGCCTCGGAAATAACTTTTGCCAAGAAAAAAATTATATTACGTTCAAAAACAGCTCTTCTACTTGCTAGAATTGAATTTTGAAAGAATTCTACATAATACCGAGTATGTTTTGAGACGTTTGAAAACGGTATGGAATTTTTGATTTTCAAAGTCTAGAAATTTCGGTTCTCTTCGCTTGCTCTCCAGGAATTCGGAATTACAATTGTAAGTCTAAAATATCATCAAAGCAGCTCAGCAATACCTCCTAAATAAAATTATAAACTAAGGAAAACCATAATTTGCTATGCGCCTTCACGCGAGTTCGATTATCTGATCATGAAATTTGACCTCATTTCTGTGATTTTTCGGCGTCACGGGTTGTTGACGGTTTTTCGTAATTTTCTCAAAAATGTAAAAACTCTAGAACCTAAGACTTATATCACGATTGTTAGCATACCATAGGTTATCTCTGGACGAAATATCAAGGGGTCCATTTTTCCGACCTTGTGCCACCCCTCACGCGGTGGTTGGGGAGAGTGGCTCTTAACTCTTGTAAATACAGTATTTAGATGTTTTTAGGCTTTTTAACAAATTTTGTAAATAATTATATAATCTACACGCAATTTTTTATTTTTAGTGATTTGAATCTGGTATTTAACTTATTATTTTACAGTGTCCCCCATATAGCTTATAGCTAAAAACATAGACACTTAAATAAAGTTTTCATTCATTGATTCATTCATTCATTCAATAAAGTGTGGCACCTTTCCGATATGTGACGCTCCACTTTCGAGATCCACGCGGCGCATACTGTCGCTTCGAAATCACCGTTCTTCATATGTGCAAACGGAATCCCTATCCGGTATGCGGGGCTTCGTGGCGTGCAATTAGCTAGTGTGAACACAGCCTTACCTAAACAGGTTTAGGTGACAAAACAATAAAAATTAAGCGTTCTGATTGGCTGCCGAAAAATGACCTTTGTACCTACTTACACCCACTTGTCGATTTGGGGCAATTCGATTTTTGAGATGAGTTATCCTTCCGAAAAAATGGGGTTTCTCCCTTCGTTCTCAAGCGAACGTGTTTCTACTGACTGGCTGAGATTTGCTGTTATCTCTAATTCATTTTGCGTGTTGTGAATTGTACAGTTTGTACACTTTTGGAGGTAAACAGGTGAATGCATGTACAAGGTAGGGCCTTACCACGACAATACAGGACAGGTACTTGAAAACTTGCAGCCTTACATCGATCTTCTTCTGGTGAAAATAATTTTTCTTTGTTTATTTTTTAGATGTCTTCAGTCCCTATAAGCAAGGCTTACATCTCAAAGCTCTCGAAAATGGTTGAAGAAGATCCTAAAATTTCATGTTCACGAACTCTCGTCGACAAGAGAGATGCGCACGGCTGCTGGCGCTTTCTGTTACAAGATTTCAAGATTTCTGTGGAGTGGGATGTGGAAGCTGTTCGAGTTCTTGTCGAAAGAAAAACGAGATGAAGTAAACCGGCGTAAGTTCTTCATTGTATTTATCTCCCTAGGGAAAAAAGCCTCTGCTCAGCTGTTTGCTGGAAGAGAATGCATTTACAATTATTGTCACAGGAACCCAACGACCGCTTCCTCCCAAATGCATGAAAACACTTTTTAGGCTATCCAGAGTACTATTAGACCTCTAGAAACGCATTCTGGACTATAAAATTTGTCTCTGTTCGGTCCTTCTAGGGGAACTTGAGTTTTTTCGAAGTTAAAAGGGCTTCAGTATTACTTCCCGAAAATTTTAGTGATTGCATCTAAAATTTCCGGGAAGTAATACTAAAGCTAAATTAGCACATTACGAAAGTGAAAATTTCTTTGATTCCTCTCTCCATCACGTTTTTATATCTGAAAATTTTAGGTTTCCTTTTTGCTACATGCAAAATCGTAGGGAATTTATTAGATAACCCGCGGAAAGTGTACATGAATGGAACGCTGGAGATTTTTAGCCCTCCTCAAGTGATTGAATTTACTTCTCCGAGCAGATGTTTTACAGAAAACATTCGTCGCCTTGCCCCTGTATTGCCTCAGGGTCATAATTTGCCGTAGATCCGGTCAGCGCTTTTTATTAGTAGTAGTTATCGGACTATCACTCCTTGCTTGTTGGGTGTCAGTAAAACGCGGGGTCAGGGTATTTCTTTTTTTTAAAGAATGTTGTTTTAGGGGTAGGTTAGGGTTATTTAGAACTAGTGTTAGGCAGGGGTCGCACTGTGGCCTTTTTTTTTTGTCCCACAAATATGTCACGACATTTACGCCACGGGAGTCTTGGAGATCGCACGTGTGGGACATAAATGATATTTGAAACCGGACTGTCAACTCTTAATATTTCACGTGCGAAAAGAGCGCCAACTTTTTCATTGTCGAAACCCCATCTCTCCCTTTGGTTGGACTTTTTTGTTCCTCCCGAGGCAGCTGAAGGGACTGGTGATGGCTGGATTGGCTGCCCATGTTCAAAAGCCCTGTCAAAAGACGGCTGCGAGGTCGAAGGCTGCGAGTCTTGGGAAAACATCTGCGAGCTAAAGGGTGAAAACAAGCCATCCCCGTACATAATAATAATAATAATTTATCACTTATTCGGCGCAAATATCTATATGAATATATTCAAATGCGCCTTACAAGTTACATTAAAATAATAATAAAATAATAAATCTAATATAGTAAAACTATCCAGTCCATATCTAATAAATAAACTAAAAATTACACAGAGTCAAAAATGTAAAATTCTAAAAAAAAATAACAAGCATACGCTTTCCTAAGAAGATGAGTTTTCACTAAGGACTTAAAAACGTCCATTGTCTTAGCATTTCTAATGTCATTTGGGAGACCGTTCCACAGTCCCGGAGACGCAACTTGAAATGCTCTGTCTCCCAATGTCTTTTTTGTTTTTGTAGCATTATAAGGTTGTAGTAGTAGCTGTGACGATGATCTTAAATTATAATTTGTTCGTTCCCTAGTTCTAATTAAATCTGAAATATATAGTGGAGCATAGCCATGTATTGCCTTATAGGTTAAAATTAGCACTTTGTATTCAATCCTAAAAGACACAGGCAGCCAATGTAGCCGATAAAGAACAGGTGTTATATGTTCAAATCTAGGAATGTACTGAGAATAATCAGGTGGATAGTGCGAATTTGTAAATTGGTATGGGTTGAAATTCGCCATAAGGACCAGATAAACGTTTGTAGAGAAAACCGGTGACTAAAATTTTGAATAGATAGCTGTAGCTAGCTGTGCACATGTGTTATCTTCGAAGAATTGCGAAAATTAGATTTTTGCCGGTATTTCAGATTTTACTGACATTGCGGCCGAAGAAAAACAAAAAATTGTTATTTTACGGCCTTTGGACAAGACAGGGTTTGAGCCAGGCCGCGCCATTGTACCAATCCCGCGCTGCAATTGGAATTGTCCCTTTAAAAAACGGCCAAGGGGACAATTTGTCCCCTTCAAAATTTAGGG